ATCGATCCACGATTGATACGCTTGATTTCGGAGATCGAGCTCCGTGGCTGCATGTGCAGTATTCGCCCGCGATCGCGTTCGACATGGTGTCTGCAAAACAAAACAAGACTACGACAGTCTGACAGGAACCACTTCGAGCAGGTTGACAGCAAGCCTCCTGCAGATGCAATGGGCTGGTTAAAGGAGACTGCTCAGCTAGAACTCTTCGAAGAAGACACTTGGCCGACTTGGTTCACCCTTCTGTTGATCTGTGCCGACATTCATAAGCAGACCCCAGATTCTCTATTCGCGCTTGTTGCCCTAGGAACTTCGTTGGATGCTCAAGCAGCACGAGAAGGACGAGGCCTACCGCTCCAAAGCCTCTTTTCCTTTCTGGCTTCTCCTTGGGCCCAGGCTGAGGGCGAGAAGCCAAGTGCTGACCAGAGCCCAGCGAGCGAAAGCGAGGCCAAGGCAGAGCCAGCCGAAGGAATCCGTGTGGAGGATGTCCCCTCCGAGCATCCGGCGTGGGCCGGCGGCACGAAAGTGGGGGGATTCCTCTGGTTTTTTGATAGACTATGCTGGCGGGCGGGCGTCACAGCTGCATCGGCGAGAGCCGCTTTGAGGCCACGGGCCGAGAAGGACCTGAACTCGGCGCTGCTACACCTGCGCAGCTGTGCCTTGGTCGAGCGAAAACCCTGAGAAAACCACGGCGTTCGTGGGATTGTCTGTGTGTCAGGCGAGCGGGAGCATGCTCATTTGATGCAGCTGTTGGGTTATGAAGATGCGGTGTTCCGCGAGGACCCGCGCTGCCCCATGTGTGTTTGCAGCACCCAACAAAAACAGCCCTTGCCTCGGAGGAGCGCCTCATGGAGATTCGCGAGCTCGAAGAGGAAGTTGAGCAAGAGCAGCGTAAAGTCAAGCATATGGATGCCGCAACTCTTCTCTATGGGCTGTATGTTCTGTTGCGTCAAGTCCAACGTGTGCACCTCGCGCTCGGCCGCCATCTCGACAGAGCAGTGAGCACAAGCCCAGCGTTCATCAAAGGAAAACCGGCGGCGAGAGCGTGCGCTGGCCCGTGCCGCAGCGCTCGCAGCCAGCTCGATGAACCCGGAGAGCGACGGGAACGGCCGCGCCGCTTGGCCGCAGAGTCATTACTGTAGTGGTGCGAGGGACGGATGAGAGTCACTGGAGTTGACTGGAGCACGTCTCGCAAGGCACTGCGGCAGACAGAGCAGTGGGAATCCGAAAGCGCCGTCTGGCAGGCGGGTGAGAGGGCTGGAACCTCAATACGACAATGCTTGTGCTTGCATTACAGCGATGAATTTGCTATGCTACGTTGTCCAGTCAGATGTAACGGGAAGAGAGCGAGCCGCACGCTGATCTAAAGGAGAGTGTGCGCATTGGATCGAAAGCTCGATACCAGATTGGGTAAAATTATTGGGTGCTTGCCAGCTTTTCCTGTTGCCCGGACAAAGAGTGCTGAACCATGGCAGGTAAAGAACGACGCTTGCTAGAAGTTGGGCATCATGCTTGCTCAGACTCTGAGACTCTGGGAGGTTTTCCGTGTTGCCGTTTCCAGCGACTTCTGGCCATGAGGAAAACCTGCAGAAGCAAGTCCTGCAGCTGAATATTTACATGAAGCAAGACTTGGACAAGCAAGACCATCTGGAGCAAAAGCTGCAGGCTCTGCACCCTGCCTGCACCTTCATGATAACGTGTTCCGCGTTGTTTCGCTTTGTTCAGTGTAGTTTTTCTTGGGGTGAGACACGCCGTCGAGAGTTCAAAGTTCAAGCCGTCAGCAACTCGATCGTAGATACTCTTGGATCATGGAGCCAAGGCGGGAGAAGCTGGAGAGTGAGGAGGCAAAGCAGTGGATCGAGGCCAGGGTACCTGGGTACCGCATGCATTCGTAATTTCGCAAAGACAGATCCGTAGCTCGCGCGAATGCAAGAATCAGGAGCAAAGGCAGCGAGAAGAAGAGCGCTGGAATGAAGAGCAAGTGCTTTCTGCAGAAGTCAAAGCTCTCCAGGTAGTTTGCGTCTCGAGTTGCGTCAATTTGTACAGTGGATTACTGCTGACACAACTGATTGTGGCATCTGCAGGATCGGCGCGTGTCGGATGTACAAGCCACCAAGAAAATGCATACAGAGATGTCACTTGCAGCGCGATAAGTTGAAGCATCTTTCCGAAGCGTTCTTGAACATAGTCGAAGGCGACTTTTCGACGCGAATTCAGATTGAATGAAAGCCTCAGGCAGCGACAGCTCGTGGACCTCAGAAAGCAGCAAGCGACCCTGGAGCCCCGCCTTGTCGCTGTGCTGCAAGATGCTTCTCGCTCCTGGGCTTTTGCGCTGATCTTGGTCTCCTGGGCCCATGTGGGCATCTTGCCTCCTTCTGATTAGGCCCAATTGGATGGTTTGGAGAAGCAACTGCGGCGGCAGTGGAAGCAGCTGGCACGGCAACGCCGGAGGGAAGCCGACAACGCTGCTCCTCGGCCTTCTCCAGCAATTCGGCAACACGGGCCTTGAAGGTAAGGGTATCTAAGCTTTTTGTCAGAGCCTCGCCGTGAACTCGTCGCACTGCAGGCGGTACCAGCAGGGGGGAGCGAAGAGTCGCGGCCTGTGAATGCAGCATTCTGTCAACAGCCACGGCTCGGTTGCATTCCGGCATGGCTGCATGCTGCCTGCATTTTCGGCTTTGACACCTGTTACAGAACGCACACCCAACGCAAGGCTGCCGAGCAGCGTGCTGGAGACGCAAAGTCTCAGTGCCTTGTCACTGTCTGAATTAAGCCTGCAACACGGTAGTGGTGAGCGTTGTTCCAACTGAGGTCCCAGCTTCGGGCTAGTAGCAGAGACATTGGCACAGCATGTGCTGACAACAAGACCAGCTCCAGAAGCGAGTGCCGAGCATGCAAGTGAAGAATGGCTGTGTTTTGTCTTTGCATTAATGTAAGTAAGTTAGGTCATTTCAAGTCTTTTCCATCTGAGAATCTGCTGAATGCTTTGTTTGCTTCACGAGTACGTGCCCTGCTTAGGCGGTTACTCAGCAGATGCGAGTGCTGAGCCAGTCGACAGCAACACGGAGACACAGAAGCCAAGAAGCTCGCATGGCAGTCAAGGTTTTTTACCCTCTCAGCACCGTTGGGAACCCTTTTTGGACTTGCAGTGACGATTCAGCCTACTGGTTGGCACCGCTTTCGTCGTCACAATGCGCAAGGCGGTTGCACTTCTGTGCAGCCGAGGTCCACCAGATCCTCCAAAGGAGGAGCATGTGGAGGCCTGGTCCCGGTCAGCGTGATAGTCTACAGTCATAACCTGGGCATGCTGGAAACCTGGGCCTCGCTAGGAGACTGGCAGCTCACCAGAGATAGTGTCTCGGAGAGCAGCGAGATGTCTGTATACATGCATCCAGTTGCACCACTCCCACCCTTCCCCCACACACAGGCAAACGTAGGACCCATGGTGAGGAGGCTGCGTGCTGAACTACTGACCAGAATGATATCGACGCTCGTGCAGTGCCGGAATCACCCCATGTAAACAATGTAGAACTTGTGCACATGCCTCGTGACGCACCTTGGCGCACTTGCATCGTGGGGAATTAGTGAGACGTGTCCGCGATTCTCTGTAACTGCTGAGGGCATTTCTTTGGCAGTCGATGCGGAGCAGATGGGACCTCCTGCCCAGACCCGGGATATGGAGCCCGGACTAGTCAGCGTCCGGTGACAAAAGATGCAGCGCACCTGTTGCCTACGTTGCCTTGCAGCCCGGGATAATGTGAAGATTCGTCTCGCCAGGCAGCAGTCTGAGCCTGATGGTCGAGGTTCACAAGGTTACCTTGTCAGGCACAAGTCCTGATAGAACGATATAGAACGTGCGCCGGAGGGTCGCTAGGCATGTCTTGTTCGTTGGCAAAGCAGGCTTCTGCAGAAGATCATCAACAACATTCACGTGGTCCTGCGCTCAGTGCCCATGATGCTTGTTGGTTTTAGACGAATGCTGCATACTGCAAGCTAGTTCCAAGTGCGCGGCAGCGTGGGAATCAAAGTGAAGCGGAGTTTTGGTACGTTTTGTGCATCACACCCCAACAGCCAGCGCACTCAGCGGCTATATCCTCCCCCCCGCTGTGCCACTTGTCAAGGTCCGCCACGTCACGTCGGTGCTGACATGACATATACATATATATATATATATGTAGCCCATCTAGACATATCTAAACTCTAGCTGCCGCAGATGCCTACAGGCAAGGCTGGCTCCCTGCCGTAAAGGATCCCAGTCTATTGCCACATGGATCCACATTGCACAGAGCTCGGAATTCGATCGCATGAATGCATTTATGTCGAATTTCCGGCTCACAGTGTGTGCCTGGGATTGAAGCCGAGTGGAGCTGAGGATGTGTCCGACTTGCGAGTCACCTTTGCTAGCAGGCTCGACTTCGTCAGGTTTGCTCAGGCATTGTGCTAAAGTGGAGCTTCATTGTGGCGGTTGAGTGTGGGCTTGCGTGAAAGTTTCGTTTCGTCTGCAGGCATTGTGGCTGAAACCTGTCCCTGTGCTGCAGTTTTGTGTTTTGAAACGTAATCATGGACGCCTTTGCCATCGCCACCCCCGCTGCATCGCGCCCCGTGGCGCGACCTGTGGAGGCACTTCAACGGCAGAAGCGGAGCAATTATTGCTGAATCCTTTTCTTGCTGTGGTGTCAGGCAGCCTTTCGTGGTGCACGTGCTGCCGCACCCTTGCACACAAGCCAAGCAGCAGCAGCTGCCAGTGCATTCGTCGCAGGCGACAGATAATAACTGACACAGTACCAACTGTTGCTAACTGAGCAGGTAAGCAGCAAGGGCATTGCCACCATGTAGCTTTTTGTGTAGACAGTGGTTGTTGTGAGCCCGCTGCACTGCAGACTGCTTGGCTCAAAGCTTTTGCTACGCTGCTACACACCTCCTCGAGAGTGTTTGAACCACCGCGGTGGCCTTACTTGATAAGATGAACTGATGAACACTGAGCCGGCAGTTCTCAGGACAGCATGTCTGACGACGAGGAGGAGGGGGCAACCCAGAACGCAAACAAGTTCCTCGGCTTGACGACTTCACAGCAATACCTTTTCCGAGTCTCGTCATGTCGCTGCGTCTGAGGGTTGTTCTTCCAGAATTTCATGAGCGGCCCAGAACTTACTTCCAGAGTTTCGATAAAAGGAGCCGCTGGCGGCAGAAGCTGGCTTGCTATGGCTTGCCTGATCTCAGGCTTGTTTGTAGCACATTCAAGACCATTCATACAAGGTTGGAGGCAAACCAGTCCTTTCCCCGAGGCACAACGAACTTCGCCCAGACCTCTTTGAGAAGATCCTGGTCCTTGCCGGTGAAGCAGTGCAAGCCCTGACATGGGTCGTGAAAAAGTTACCGAAATATCTCGCGGTGCTACTGCAATATCAGCATGTGTCTGCACAGGTGCAGAAACACAAGCTACAGAAGGATATAGCCCAGCACATCAAGCAGGCTGGCGGTGTTGCTTGTACAAGTAAGACTTGAAAACTGGATCTCAACACAATTCACGGATGCTCTTGCGCCCACGGCGTTAAGCTAGCCTTAAGCCGTGTGTTGCAAGGCTTTGGATACCGACGTCGATTTCAACGAACTAATCGGCAAGGGGCCGTGGCAGGCCACGATCTTCGTCCTGCATACATCCTGCTGCGGAAAGGTCTGCTGTGGCATTGGAAAGTAGTTGGCCCAAAGCATAGGTGACCATTCGGTTAAACTTGAGCAAACGGTTTGCAGGTCATAGTGGGCCGCTCCTTCGCATCTTCTGTCACCCATGAGGCTACATTGAGCGCAATGCGTAAGTCGTCTTTTGCTTGCCAGAATCCGCGCACCGTGTCCGGAACGAAGGCTATGCACATCGCCTTCTTCGATTTGCCCAAACACCAGGCCAGGAGATGTCGAGGCATCTTAGAGGAGATCTAAGACTGCAGCGCGATCAGGAGACTTTCCTCATCTACAAGTCCTTGGGTGTCCAGAGCATCTGAGCCTGAACCGTGCAGCAGGGACTGCAGCTGTACCCTATTACTATACGTAGCAGGCAGAAGCCTTGGATCCGCAGCTTCTGAAGAAGCGGAGCCGGTTGTCCTGTCGTTATGTAGGGTATTTCATCGTCTTTTGGCTGTCGCCCGGGAGTAGCGATAAGCTTATTAGCAGCAATGCAGGTGAAAGGTACCGTGTGCTCCGCTGCTTTCACCCAATCGTCGCTCCGCCAAGTTCAAGACACGCGTTCAAATCGAGCGCGAGGTCTTCGACAACCACAATACCTGAATCGTTGGCTGTAGGTGAAGGGAAATTGCAAGACACGCAGCTCAGGAAATACCAAACGATACTGTTGTTTGGGCTTGGTAGCAGCGGCTCTTGAACCTTGACAAATAACACTTTCGAATGCCTGACTGGATGCATGCCGCGACTCGCAGACAAAACAAGACAAGGGTCATGGGATGATTAGCCACATTAGGCTCCTTGTCACACTGTTGAACAGCAGAAAGCAACAGCGGATTGCATGTTGTCCTGTCGGCGCAAACTCGGTGTTTGAAGCAGGTTCAGCTGCTCTGGCCTCAGTGGCCTCAGCGCGGCGCTCGAAGAGAACTGCGGCCCTGCGTAACCGCAACCAGCGCGTGGCATCCTCAGCAGAGAAAAAGACATCTGCCTTGCCGGCGCTTTTCGATAATCTTGCAAGCGGTGAGGTAGCAGCTGTGGCAATGCACGGAACACCGGTGTGTGCTGGTGTGGTCATCACTGGTGGAGCTGCTGGCGTGGGCTACGCGTACGCGGATGAGCTGTTGGCTCGTGGTCATCAGGCCAAGGACTTTTGTGTGGTGCTTCACTCAAGTCGGTCCCGTTTGCACTGCTCCGCGTCTCGCCAACCCGGCATCTCCACCTCCATATTGCAGGTGGTCATCTGCGACGTGAAGGCGAGGCTATGGAACTGCCGCGGCTCGGGGATGGTCATCCATCACGGTGTCATGCCTTATGCCAATATTTCTCGAACACGTATCAGGACTGCTCATCGGCTGTCGAATCTCTCAAGGCGAAGCACGGCGAGAAAGCCAGCAGCTTGCTGCAATGGGAATAACTTCCAACTCTGGTGCAGTCGGACGATTGACATTCACGGCTGCATGATGTGGAGACCCCAGGCATATATGCCACAACATGCGACGTGTCCAGCATCGAGAGCATCAACAATCTCATCGAGTTCGTGAAGAAAAGCATTGGAGTTGTGCACTACTGGCAAATCGTTCGCATATCCGAGGCATTTGTTCCTGCATTTGGTTTTGTTGGGCTGATGTGTTTAAGTCCTGCCGACCTGTTGAACAGCCTGCAAGGATCAACAATGCCGGCATCAACGGCGGAAGACGACGCTTCACCGAGATCACCCCCGAGATGGTGGACACCGTGGTCCGTGCTGGCCTCGGAGTTTCCGCCGTAGCAGATTGCGGTCTGAGTTTGCAGCGAGCCACGCCGCAAGCCGAGGGGTAAACTTGGGCATCTTGGCTTGCAAGGCATGCCCGAAATGTCGTGCCTGCCTGGTCCGTTCAATATCTCAGATTTCCATGTTGCCGTCTGACGCAGTCAAATGAGGTGGCATTGTCCTTTGCACACATGCCGCGATGAGAATGATGGAGCAGCAGCGCCTTGCATGAGTTCACGCATTCGGTTGTTTCGAGTCCTCCACGATATTCCACGATACAAATCGTTGCACGCTGGCATATACTGGCGGGGTAACTTCAGTCAAGGAAAGGTGTCGAGAGCCACATCTTCAACACCGTCGGCAGTGGTGCAACTACCTCAGAGGGGTGGATTTTTGTGGACCTCCAGCGAAAGCACCTCTAAGAGAAGTTTAGGTCAAAGGTGGCGGCACACCGGGATATGTCACCTATGGTGCTACGAAGCGTGGCCTGCCCCAGATGACGGAATCCCTGGTGAAGGAGATCGAGGCAATGTTGACAGTCCGAGTTTGTTTGCGTACAGAATGACAGTGAGCTTGCTGGCTGTCGTCGCCGCATGTTCGCTGACCTGCAGGAAGGCGTGCAAGGGAAGCTTGGTTGCAGCCATGCGGCAGGGCCGCTGCGCAGGCTTGCCAAGCTTGTTCTTTTCCCACACCGGGAAAAACCCGAGGTATGAGAAGGTGGAGACGCCTGGAAAGGTTAACTGCCACTGCCTGTCGCCTGGCATGGTCCCCGCCTCAGAGAGCGGAAGCCAAGCCGAGACGCTGCACCGCACCGGCTTGAGACGGCGATCGTGTTCATCCACGCTTGCAGGTCTTCACCGACCTGCTACTGAACGACTCGACGCCTGAGTTGCGGAAGTTCCCCTTCGGGGTCCTGGCAGCACAGCCAGAGGAGGCACCTGTAGCTTTCGATGCTTGATGACGAGATGAGCGCCGCAAGCATCGAACTTCAGCAGGTGGCCAAGGATTTGGTGCCCAAAATCCTCAGTGTCAGCGGCAACGGCAAGTCTGCTACCTGGCGATGACAAAGCTGACAAAGAATTTGGCATTGAAGACTGTCTTTGCTGTCGCGTGTAATGCTAGCTGGTGGGAAGCGCCTGCGCAAAGTGCCTTCTTGTGAGGACAGGGGGCGGGCTCCGAACACGATGGGGCAGGAACAGCAAAGCAAGTGACTATGAGCACTCATAAAGACAAGCTTGCTTCATCGGCCCTGAAACTTGTCTAACAGAGAGGGTCGAGATATTGACGTGGTGAACTGTTTGCAGCCCTCGTTGAACATCTCTGTGCACAACTGACTTTCGATCTCTTCGCTCTCCTCTCCAGCAATCCAACCCGGGATGCACGCTGCCAAAGTTTCGGGTAAAGAAGCAACTTCAAGGATGGATGTGACAACGTAAATGAAAGCGCGGAGGGAAGTGGGGTGGGGGATACAAGCAGAAAGCACAACCTGCCCTGTTTGTCCTCATCGAGTCATTGTGATACAGAATCCACGAGTGTGTTTGTGCCAGGTTGAGTTCCTCACGGTCGACAAGATCTTGACAAAGTTCTTTGGACGCTTCATCCTGGGAGTCCCTTGGTCGATGCGTCAGTATTGCCATGTATTGCCATATTATTATGACACTAATAATACGAAGACAATAACAATAATTATGATTACTAGTATTGTTGTTATTATTATACTTATTATGTTCTTCTTATTACTATGCCCTCCGCTTTTCAGTCGTATGTTCGCTAGCATGCGCATGATGATTTTTGTCTTAGCGTTTTTGACTAAAACCGCTTTTGGAATCATGTGATCTGCCAGCAAGCCATTAGAGACCTGCAGATCTGCTACAGGAAAAATCGAAGTACATCGACGATGATGGCAACGTCATCCAAATGCCTGGTGCACAGTATCAGGACCTTTCAAGAAGGGCCCCTGCAGCGGCGAAGCAAATAAGCGTGTTGCTTTCAGTAGGGCCAGTCAGTTTAGAGCTATGTGAAGAGGACAATGGCGTTCGAGTTCTCTACGACGGCATGAAGTGAACATACAAGGGAAAGAACTCCCGGTGACGGCACTGGAACCAGACATGCTGCGAACTCGAAGAGTAAGCAACTTGTACACTGCAGACAGGAATGACAGTTTGTTTCCGACGTGGCTCGGCGCTTTAAGCTTTAATTTCTTGGATGCAAAGTGCATCAGCTGAGATGATGGTGGCAGGGGTGCCCTCTCGGGTTGCGTGCACAATGCAGCAGCTTAACGGGTTTGTCGGCGTCGATGATTGGAACTGCTATGAGCTATGACGGCTATCCCGCCTCATCTCGGACGGGCGCAGCGCTTCACAGCCCGCGAGCGACGCGGCTCTCAGCTCTGCTGTAGTAGGGACGGCAAGTACCTGTCATTTCTCCAATGACACGACTCAGACCAGCGAATGCCTTCTGCCCCAGGATAAAAGACGTTTCTTTGTCCGCAGTTTTAGCCCGTTGCAGCAGGCATGACCGCAGACCACAGCATCCACAGCATTCAGGCAGCATCGCTTCGCCTCCGCTGTGGAGCTTCCATCTTTGGAGGTGGTCTCGACTGCCCGGATCTCGGGGCACGTGTTTTGACATGGCGTGCAAGTAATAGCATGACACCTATACCTTTTCATTGAAGCTCGCCTGGCAAATAGAACCTGCAACTACGCATATGGCATCATCTTCGACCTAAACCCCATAAGCCAAATTCACACCTTGTCTTATGTTCGCTGAAGCCTCTTGGGCTTGCGGTCGCTTGCTCGTCCTTGCGAAGTAGGAGGCACAATCGCCACAGGAGACGCCATGCAATGAATGGTCCTGCTGCTGTGCCCCGCACCTCACCGTCTAGACTCTAGACGATGGCTCCACGGCGTGCGTACAGACATGTAGATCCGAGTGGCACCATCACCGAGATTACGTTGAGAGCCACATATGGGGCCTCAAAGAAGCGATCGGAAGCCAGCGGGCCTTTCGGCCGCAGAACTGCTCAGGACCAGACGTTCCGCGAGCGCTTCACATCGGAAGTGATGGTGCGTGGACCCCAGGTCGGTTAGCGGTTCGGAGCCGGAGCCTGGTTGCCGGCTCAAGGCATAGCCCATATAGTTGACAGTGCCGCAGTACTTCAGTGCTTGTGCTCAAGCTTGCATGATATGCGATTGCTTGCAAAGCAGTCCCTTTCAACAGCTTGGTGCGAGCAGTGGCAACATTCCGTTAAGCACCATACGATAGCTCGACTCAACAAACCCCTTGCCCCGCACTTAACATCCTGTCGCAAGCCTTGTGAAAAATCCATCCCTGGAGCACGAGATGGGCTGGGGCTGTCAGGGCGGCTGGAGGGAGGGTACTGGGAAAACCTTCCCAGACTTTGCAGGACTTCCCAAGACGTGGTCTCAAGGAAGGTGCTCCTGTTTCTGTTTCCCATGAGTGGCCTGCGAACCACCTGCTTCTTTTCTTCTGCCGACAGTCGAATTCTCGAAAGAGAGTCTTCATGGGCTTGCTGCTCCAGGTCGGGAAAGTCCATGTACAAGGTGCTGAACTTGCGAGGTGCCGCAAGTCACATGCCGTACCTGTGACCATGGCAGACAGGATCATGCCTAAGTTTTGAAAGTCGTGTGCTGAACATTGTTTGCACTTTTTGCATCTTTTTGCCTTTCGGCTCGGGCTGCATGCAGCTGCCTCGTGGCAGTGTAGGAAGCGAATGCAACATACCGCAGTGTACCCGCAGCCACCACGGACCTGACATTTGCCCCTGGCCTCTTCCCGTGGTTCACACACCATGAAGCAATCCCAGTACCCCGTGTTGCTCCGTTTAAGGGCAACTTTCGCTTGACTTGGCCGTAGCAGTCAAGCTGTTCGCACATGAGGGCGCTGTTCGTGCCTCCTTGGCTGTGGGTCCCGTGCCTGGGCTCACATGTCGAAGCTTGAAGATAGGACCACCGCATGCTGTGGGCGACTCAGAGCTGAAGCTGAGCAAGACGGAGAGAGAGACCAATTGTAAGGAGAGGCGATCATGGTGTAAAGATGCCGAGGTCTGCAGCCGTTGACGTCTATGGAGTCACGAGACAGTGACTCGTGGGATGTCTGCGACGAAGGTTTGGTTAGCAAGCCTCACAAGTCCACCAGCGCAGACCTTATCGAATCTTGGCCTGGAATATGGCAGCTAGTCGTGCTGATCGTGCAAGCAATATGCCCCACAGCCTCTGCAAGGAGTTAAACTGGCCCTGCAACAATGGAGACGTTTGCACGGAGCCTGTGCCCTAAAGCGAATGTCGTGAATCGACGCAAACCGGGACATGTTATACAAGAAGCCCTGCCAGCGGTGAAGAAATCAGGCCTGCACAAGAACAGCTTCAAAGTCCATCCAGGCAGGAGCGCGGGCTGCAGGACGGGAGCAGGGATGCCAAACAGGGAACGCCTCGAATACATGCTTGGTGGGGAGCTTGGATGTTGTCGTCGCGTGTTGTTTTCGAGGGCAAGTTTGCAACACTTGCACTGGTCAACAAAACCTATCTGCTGAGGCTCGTCTGGGATTTGGGATTTTGGCGTCTTTCTTGACGCTAAGTTTGGGCATTGTGTGCGTGAAGCTAAAGAATTGGACCCAGCTGGACCTAGCTACTCGATCGGCTCTGCTTCACGTCTGCAAACGCGGGTCGAACGCTTCATCACAGGCGCATAGCAGTCCTTTCCTGTCCGTGTTCCCGAACCGGTCAATCGAACCACATCTTCATGGACTTCCCGGGCAGCGGATGTACGCCTTTAGCATTTAAACGTTGTATTCACGGTGGCAGTACTGTAGCTAGTAGTTGCCAGTGCTAACTTGATAACAGCATTAGGAGTTGTAGTCCTCGTCGTCGTCGTAGCCGCAGTAGAAGCAGGAGTAGTAGTGACCCAGGTCAAAATCTTGTCTCGGACCTTTATCTGGTCCTGTACCCATATTTGGGGCGCCCGGCACCACACAAATGATTGGTTTAGAGGCACGACATGGCAGCAGGGGGCCAATAAACTAATGTACTGCAGCGGGGGGCCACAGCACATTTCCCGGGTTCGAAAATGTAATTCACGGCGGGGTCTAGACTCTGGTCATTGAGCCAGATGCCGTGCCGATGTTTCGGGTGGCATTGTACGAGGTCGGAGAAGGGCCTTGACCGGCAAATGAGACTGCTCTTGCGCACGATCATGTAGCTGTAAGATCACTAGTTTTAAGCTAAGGACATTTGGCACCACGGCGGCTTTTGTAGAACATGTTTTCCGAAGTATTGACTTATTGCGTACGCATCTGACTAGCGATTGCCCTCTGACGTAAGCCATGCAGCGAACCTTGCGGCGGTTGCACACGCAGCTGCGTGTTGCGACTGGTGCGTTCTCGTCTAAGAGTCTAGGGTTGTGTGGAGTGTGTTGGGCATTCTCGGGCCGCGCATGCCAAACAGCTTGCTGCGTTAAAGCTTATACTGTATTTAATATAACAACTGTCTGCATTAAGCGTTAGCAAAAAACGCTGGCTGGCATGTGTCGGCCCGAAACCAAACCCCCACCACGCTCGCGTGATGTGCTTGACGAGTCGCCGCAGCCTTTCGCTGCTACTCCTCTGGCTTTCGTGGCCCTCCTCTCAAGTAAGTGGCAGCAGCAGTAGTAGCAGTGTAGTGGTGGCAGTAGGGGTAGCGGTTAGTAGTAGTTAGTAGTAGTAGTAGTAGTAGCAGTAGTAGTAGTAGTAGTAGTAGTAGTAGTAGTAGTAGTAGTAGTAGTAGTAGTAGTAGTGGTGTAGTAGTAGTAGTAGAAGTCGTCGTCGTCGTCGTAGTAGTAGTAGTAGTAGCAGCAGCAGTAGTAGTAGTTGTTGTTGTGGAAGTAGTAGTAGCATAGTAGCTTTAGCAGTAGCAGAGTTGTAGTAGTAGTCGTCGTCGTTGTCGTCGCGGAGTCAAAGCATTACATCGGGATCGAAAGCTCGGTTGCACGTGGCGGTGCACGCAAGAGAGAGAGTCGACACTCGAAAACTGATCAGCGTGTATGTGGCTCTATTTAGGGATCGTGCTTCTACGGTGCGAGCTGTTCCATAACTGCTCCATAGTTGGAGTCTATTCGGTGGGCGGCGTATCTACGATGGCCAGAACCAGCAAGTTAGTAATTTCGATCTGAGTGATAGATTGAGTCAGGCGTGGGTCGTGTTCTGGGGTGTTGTCATGCAAGAACTGCTTTAGGTTTGAACCTTCGCCTAAGACTGATGGATCATTAAAGTGCAAAGCGGTATACTGAGAATCCAGGAGGGAACTTGCAAGCAGTCTATGCACGTCGTCGTCACCGATGCGGACAATGCTTTGATGCAGAGCTGCACTCTCTGCATGGATTCGTTTGGCATCCTCAAGTCTATATCCCGCCTATCGTTGCAGGACCGCAAGCAACACTTTGTTCGTTGCACATCCCGCGCCAGTGGCGTGTCCCGCGCGACCGGAATCGAATCAGTAGATTCTGCAGGCAGGCTCACGTTGTGGACTCAATGTTGTTTTTCATATCGCTGGGTCGTCGAGTCTGGTGTTAGTGCTTTCAGGAGCGACGAGCAAGTCCGCCAGCGGCGCCAGCGAAACAGAGAGTGAACCATATGATGGCTTCTTCGGAAGTTGGAGACGAAGACACTTCAGCTGCAGAGAACAGCTGTCTACGTACTCCGTCCTTAAACTTGACCTTGCATGGCGACTATCCAGCGATCTTAGGCTTCAAAAAGGCAATTTTTGGAACACCTTCGTCAAACACGAGCAAGAGCGCGCAAGAGTTCCTGGGCCTGCATACCGATGGTGCTGGTGCGCACTCTTCCCTCGCTGATCACTAGGTGACTGGCCTTTCGTTGCAAGCAACTGGGAGCAACTAAGGACTGACCTTCTGCCGGAAGAGGACTTTGTATTGAATCTCTTGGAGTTGAGCCTGGCAGTCTGTGCTTCCTGGCTTAGAGCTGCAACATCCTTTGCAGCAGCTGCAGCGTCACCATTCGTCCCGCCTTACATCTCGATTACTGAGGATGCAAGTGCTGAGATCTTGCAGGAGTTCGCAAGAAAAGCACAACAGGACAGCCTTGTTGCGCTTTGGCACTGGTTTCCCTCTGTACATCTGTCGTTTGACAGGATGGAAAGAAAAACTATAAAATGCTGAAGCGCCTCATTCGGCTTGGCCGGACCACTGGCTTGATTCTGGACTCAGGCCTGGCTGCATTTGAAGTTTCACCAGCTGCAGCGTCAAGTTCACTGTGGTCTGATAGGAAGGTCGATCGAGGCAGAATTGCGACATGATGTGTCCGTATGATGCTGATGATACTGCCACCCACAGCAACAGCGCCTTCATCAACGCCATCGCAAGGACCATCACCGCCGTCATCTGCATCTTCACCCCGTGTATACAGCCGTGGCCACCACCACCGGAATCATCTTTATGTGCATGACCATGAAGTCCGTGATGTTTATGCTGTTGTTTTTTGGTATAAGCGTCTTACATGTTTAGTCCTTCTTCTTCCTGTCTTGTGTTGTTGCCGCTGCTCCTGTTGCTGCTGCTGCTGCTGCTGCTGCTCTTGCTGTTGTGTTTGTGGTTGTGGCTGTGGTTGTTGTTGATGGTGGTGTTGGTGTTGGTGTCGTTGTCGTTGTCGTTGTGGTTCTGGTTGTGGTTGTGGTGGTTGTGGTTATTGTTGTTGTTGTTGTTGTTGTTGTTGTTGTGGTTGTTGTTCTTGTTGTTCTTGTTTTTGTGTTGTTATTGTTGTTGTTGCTGCTGTCGCTGTTGCTGTTGTTCTGGTCGTGGTCGTTGTCACTGTTCTTCTTGTTGTCGTCGCTGCTGTTGTTGTTGTTGCTGTTACGAGACCACGAACAATAACAAGAACACAAGAACAATAACAAGAACAACAACAACAACCACAACAACAACCATAGCGACAACGACAACCGACACCACCACCGGCAGCAGCAACAACGACAACATCAACCAACAACAACGACGACAAAAACAAGAGCAGTACCGAGAACAGGAACAACAACAATAACATTCAACAAGCAACACGCAACAAACAACAAACAACCACCAAACACCAAATAACAACCACCAAACAAAAACAACAAAGAACAACCAACAAACAACAAGCAACTACAACAACAACAACAACAACACCAACACCAACACCAACACCAAGAGCAACAACAACAGCATCGACCAACAGCCATCAGCCATCAGCCGCCAACAATCAACAAACAGCCAACAACCAGCGACCAGCAACCAACAAGCAACAAGCAACAAATAACTACCCACTAACAACTACCATCTACCAACTGCCAGCAACCAACAACCTACAACCATCAACCGTCAACCAACCACCAACCTGCAACCACCAACCACCAGCCACCAACCACCAACCACCAGCCCCCAACCCCCAACCGCCAACCACCAGCCACCAACCACCAGTAGCGGCCGCAGCAGCAGCAACAACAGAGCAGCAGCAGCGGCAGCAGCAGCAACATCACCAACAACAGCGACAGCAGCAACAGCAACAACAACACCAGCAGCAGCAACAACAACAACTACTTTAGCAAACGCAAAAACACGCAGCACACAGCACGCAGCAACCAGCAAACAGCAAGCGGCAAGCAACAACATGCAACACCAAACACAACAACCAACGCAACCCCCACAACCAACAGCCAGCGACCAGCAACCAGAAAGCAACAACCAGCAACCAGCAACCAGCAATCAGACAGCAACAGCCAACATCCAACAACCAACAACCAACAACCAGCAACCAGACGACGGCGACGACCACCACAACACCACACCAAGACCACCAACACCCCGCCACGACCACCACCACTACCACCACCACCATCATCATCATCCTCATCATCATCATGACCACAACCACCACCACCACCGCCACCACCACCACCACCACCACCAACACCACCACCACCACCACCACCACCACCACCACCACCACCACCACCACCACCACCACCACCACCACCACGACCACGACCTCCGCCATCGCAACCGCCCCGCCACCGCCACGGCCTCCGTCACCGCCACCGCCACCGCCAGCATCAGAAACAGCAACAGCAGCAGCAGCAACAGCAACAGCAACAGCAAGAGAAACAGCAGCTGAGAAGTAGTGGTGATGGCACAGACGGCTCGCGCTCCAAGGGCACAGTTTGTCACGGGCCGCTGAGCTTTGCATTAGCATCCGAGCATAAACATAGAGATGCAGGTCCTCGGTAGCAAGCAGCTTCAAATGCATGGAGAAGGGCTGAGAGAGACTCGCGGTTCAGGTGGTGGCACCGTCGCTGGAAGCATATCTTCCCAGTTGCCTATGCCTGTGCGAGATCTTGCCAAAGCTTTCATGAAGGCTGGCCTGTGTGACCTGGGACCCAAGGATCAATGAAAACTTCGTGCAGGGAGATATGCACTTGTAGTTGTGAGAGCCCTGCAATGTTGGGATACCTTGGGATTCTAGCTCTTTCGATTCAAGGTAGGTGGCTTCAAACGGTGCTACAGCCTCGTCAGGACGACATGACCGAAGTCGAATGGGTAGCCGGCGAGCAAGAACCTCCCAGCTGCTGTACCACGTTTGAGCTTTCAGAGTTACTTGGCAGAAACACCCACAATCCATGAAAAGACTCTATCTTTCTCGGTTGGCATCGTTGCCTTTTGAGGACGGGGGCTAGTCCCAAAGAGGGAGACAGCTTCCTGGATGCAGAGTCGGGAGGTTAGTTTCGAGATGACATGTTGCACGGAGCTTTCTCAAGTGGCGGTGGTATTCCGTTTCTGTCATGCCAGGCAACCCCGACCCGAGTCAGCAGCCGCAAAGGCCTGCCATTCCTGCATCCTGCTGCGCCTGAGCCCGAGCCCCTCCTGTCCGAGGCCGGCTTCTTTGAGGCATAGCTCCAGTTCCGGCCCCTTGGGCGGCACAACTGGCTTAACATGTCGGCCGCCGAAATTTCAGCACCGCACAGTGGTCTGACAGGCAGTGAAGCTGTGGCTGGACCTCCGCGGTCTCCAAGGCCTGGAAGAGTTGTGCGGAGCTCTTGCGGAAAACTGTAACGGATGCGAGCCGACGGTGCCTCAGTGTTTTCTCCCCAGCCTACTGTATTCTTTTCACGAAAGCTGGCTCCGTGGAGCTCGCGGGAGTTGTCGTTAAGGTCAGAGCGGGGGGTCCCTTCCCCCCCTTTTAAGGTCCATCTGTTTGAGCATGTTTGAGCAACATGGCAACCTGCATTTTGTCTGTAGGGGGTCCGGGTCTGGGTCTGGTTCTGGTTGGTTGGTCGGTCGGTTGGTCGGTTTCCTTGCTTGCTTGCAACTGTGTTTTCTGATTTGCTTTTTTGTTGTTTGTTTGCTTGTTTGTTTGAAACATTACTGCCGGGTGATGTTGTGCTGAACGCACGCTCCCTGTGCATCATCGGGTAGCTCCGCCCCACCAGACAGAGGGGCCTCGCATAGCACAAGGCATTGTTGCTCCGTTAACCCCAGGGTCACACTGCAAACGATTTTCACGCACGGCCTGCCAGCCATTGGAGTCTCGACTTTCATGTAAACCCTGAAACTGTATTTTGGTTGTCACACAAGCAGTTTCGCATGGTCTCGGAGGCTTCAACTCACACTTGTTCAGACATTGTCATTGTTTCGGGTTGAGCGACGGGTCCACGCAATGGTGGGGCACGTTCGCAGCAGACATCTGCACAAAGAGTCAAAGTCAAAATGCTTGTTTGTTTGCGCCGTCGTTTCCTTGGTTGCTCGTTGGTGTGGCTGCTGCTTGTTTGTTTGCGCTGTCGTTTCCTTGGTTGCTTGTTGGTGTGGCTGCTTGTTCTGCGTGATTTGGTTGATTGATTTGGCGTTTTTGTTTGTACGCATGTTTTTCTGTTCTTGTTTTGTTGTGTTGATGTTGATGTCGTTTTTGTTGTTGTGGTTGTGGTTGTTGTTGTTGCCGTGGTCGTGGTGGTGGTGGTGGTGGTGGTGGTGGTGGTGGTGGTGGTGGTGGTGGTGATGCTTGGCTTGCTTGCCTGCTTGCTTGCTTGGTGGGTGGGTAGGTGGGTGGGTGGGTGAGTTGGTTGGTTGGTTGGTTGGTTGGTTGGTTGGTTGGTATTGTTGTTCTTCGCTTTTGTTCTTCTTCTCGTTACTGTTGCTGGTCTTCTTGTTCTTCTTATTCTCGTTGTTGCTGTTGTTATTGTTCTTGTTGTGGTTGTTGTTAGCCAGCTGGCCAGCCAGCCAGCCAGCTAGGTAGCTAGTTAGTTAGTTAGTTAGTTAGTTAGTTAGTCTTTGTATTTAACTGATGAAGTAGTTAGGTAGTTTTGTTTTGCAGTTTGTTGTGTTGTGCTGTCTTGCTTGTTGATTTGTGTGTTTGGTTGTTTTTTATTTTGTATGTCTGTGTGTTTATTTGTTTATTTGTTGGGTTGCTGTCTTTGTCTGTTTGTTGTTGTCGTCGGTGTCGATGTGGTTGTGGTCTTGGTTTGGGTTGTGGTTGTTGGTGGTGGTGATGGTGGTGGCGGCAGTGGCGTCAGCATTGGCGTTGGTGTTGGCGTTGTTTGTTGCTATTGCTAGACGGCACTACCAGGATCATTACAAACAGCGCAGGGCGAACCAGACTGTCGCAGATGAAAGAACCGCCTGAACGTATGGCCGAAGGCATCGCTTGGCGATATCCATGCTTGGGAGCTCATGTTTGCTTTCCATACCAGGCTTGGTCACTTGAACCACAGCTCAAGTGTCAGCACCACCGGCTGCATTGGGAGCACATGGAGACACTAATATGGATCGATCTTGTAGTGAAAGAATGTCTCGCCGTTTCTTTGCCGAGGCAGTCAGGATGGCACTTTGGGCCTCCCAGTCCCACGGTCTCCCAGGCGCTCTCCTTGAAGAGACTTTGAGATCCCTCTGCAGCACCCGCATACACTCTGCGAGCTGCTTGGATTGTGAGATCCTTGCAGGCCTGGCGGCTTGAATCACAGCTCAAGTGTCAGTGTCCTTGGCAGCATGATGTCGGCTCTAATCCACTTTGTGGGTGTGGTTGCTGCCTGTAACAGAGCTTCAAGCAAAGTGCAGCTGAGGTAGTTCCGACGGCACGCTTGGCCTGCCCAGGTAGTCTGCTCTTTGTCGGTACACATGAGAGCCATCCGATTGCGCTGTGCAATTTATTGACAGGCCTGCTCACTTGCAGCACAGTTCCTCCACTGTGAGTGCCTGTGCTTGCAAATCAGTGCTGAGTCTAGCCTCAGGCAGATTGGCCTAAGCATCAGTGAATCCTGGCTCTTTGAAGGCAGCTCCGACGGAACCTTGGGCCTTCCCAGGCTCGCAGCCCGGCATGCCACCATTTAACCGCAGTCTCGTGCTGAGCCGACAGGCTGCTGGGACTGAACCACAGCACCTCGAACGTCAGCAACGCCAGTTGCAGGCCAGGTTGCCGAAACACGCTCCTCTGCGACAGTGCAAGCAAAACACCTTGATGTGCAGATGCAAAATACTTGGCAAATACCGCCTGCAAGCTTTTGCAGGCAGGCGATAAACCGCAGCTCATCCATGGGCGACTCCTGCTGCATAGAAGGAACAGCAATGAACGTGCAGAACTTCGCTTGCACATTCACGATCAGTGCTTTGTCGTTCACGTCTAGCTGCTTTCTGAGGCAGCGAGAAGGGAGACACTGCGAGTGCATTCTTACGGAGGCAGGGCGCTAGGAACTTCACGTTTGACTGAGTGGAGGGCTGCACGGGTCTTGGCCGAGGCAGTTCGGCAGGAGGAGCAGCTCAAATTGTAGCGGCTTGGCATAAGAGGGTCCTCAGTTGCGGAGAATCTGCGGAACTCTTTCGATGTATGACCGAGGTACTGGCAGTGTTGGTGGAGGTGGGCTTGGAGCGCTGCAAAGGCGAGTGCGCACGAAAGTCCAAAAGAGATTCGAACGCAGCTCGGGGCAGCTGCGGTCTTGCCCAGTGCGGCCCTGAAGGCGACTGGGGTTGATGGCCTCAGGCAGCAGCTTGGATGCAGCGGTCAAACCATGCTTCATGAAGCGTCCTGGAATGACAGGCATTGCATGTCATGTAGCAGCAATGCTTTTTCACAAGGCTACAAGTCAGGAAATTATTCGCGCCACCATGAGAGAGAAGGGATGGTAGCCACCAGGGCCACGGAGAGTGACAAAGAGTCCGGCAGCCAAACAGCTGAACACCCAGGCTATGTGCACAACGAGGAGGGCATCAGGCACGCTCTAGATTCTGTATGATTGGCGAAGAGGCGGAGCCTTTTTTCTCTATCGACCCTCACAGACCGCTGGGCTTGTACCGTGGCACTTCCAACGCCAGCACCGAGCCCAGATGGACTGGGAATTCGAGTATGAGTATCCTTACAGTGTCTGGTGGAAGGATTGAGCCATTTCCTCAGGTAGCGTGATCGAATCGGAAGGCATGAGGCCTGTTCTCACTCGCAGCCTCCCCTCTCAACTCTAACTCTCTCTCTCTCTCTCTCTCTCTCGCTCTCTCCCGCGAGCCTAGCAGGCCTAGCAGATTGTTTGAAGAAGCTTGCATCCACGCTTTGACCTCGAGGAGGCTTCCTTTCAACCGGAGCTGTTCTAACTTCAGCAATTTCAGCTGCACATCCTTCGTGGACTTCAATCGAAAGCACGGGTGGCGCGTCTGCAAGTTACATAGGGCAGTAGGGCAGTAGGGGAGCCAGCACGTCAGTCCCGAGCTCTTGAGGCTCGGTGGCGTGGAGACGCCATCCTTCCTCCAGTTCCTCGCCACGGTTCATGATGCAGGCATAATGGCTCAGCAAGGCAACCGCCCGCGGCGGTTGCAGAGCATCCAGGACAGGGCATCCAAGCATCCAGTTTGGTTGCCCCACCGTGGTTTCCAACTTAGAATCTTTTGGCTTGGTGGGTTTCGTGCCTGCCGTGATGCACGGGAAAGGGCACGGCCTTCCAGTCTCCTCCAGGAGAGAGAACTGGACGAAGCGTTCAGCAACATCCATGAAGTAGACGACATGGATGGGCACGACCGAATGTCTTACCACTCATCGCAAGAAATGGGCAAGGCCAGCATCAGCCTGCCACAATCTGTGGGACGAGAGCTGTGACACGTACCCAGATTCTTCAGGCGTCGGTCTTTGAGATGATCACTGCATCTGGATCTGTGACTTTGTCTACGCGGCTGCTTGACAGCATGGGATGACACGCCCTGCGGGGCCGGCGGATCCCAGCAGCCCGGTGCCCTGCTGAGGTGCTTGAAGACCCAAGCTGCCTGGCAGCGCTCCCTTATCGAGCAGCAGAGGCCGTGGACCGATGTGTTTCCGACCGCACATGCATGGCTTGGAGAGGGGCACACAGTAGTGCTGCGCTGGCTACCAACTTACTAATGCGTGCCTGCAGCAGGTGCTTGCTGGGTCTCGTGTCGCGAAAGCTTCACAAAGCAGAAGAAAAGACTCGGGTTGACACGGCCGTCAGCGAAGATCAGCGCGAGCTGTGTACCACCTGCATTTATCCAGACTGCACAGCACGAGGGAGGAGTGCGGAACGAAACCAAGTTTAGTTCAGGGCGTGTGCCGATGCATGTCCACAGCTGAGCTGCCGAGGTTGCGGAACTTCCGAAAGATAGTTACGAAAGACATGGAGGGTGAGGAAGCTGACCTTCAAGGACGTAAGGTAGTTGTCATCGTCGTGGAGATTTCCCCGGTTCTTCGAGCAGAAGTGGCGCAATTGTGTCAGTTGCTGGAGCCACTTGAGCTGATTGAGAAACCCCAATCTCGAAATGCAATGCTACTTGTAGCTGTCAGCGGTCAGCTGCACGAAGTTGCCGGTGGATGTGACGAGGTACCCGTGCACCACTTTTGGCAGCCTGAAAGCTGCAGCTGCTGAGATCAGCAACATCATGGAGAGTGTTGGAAGCTCTGCTGAAAGAGACTTGCTCGACCTGTTACCCACGAAGCGCACGAAGTCGCGCTGCAGCCAGGCGCAAAAGCCGCGGAATCTCCAACTTTCTTGGTGTTACTGGGCACAGCATGGCTAGATCGCGACCTTCCTGTTCAAATGAAGCAGGTGCGGAGGGAACATCAAGAAGCCCGAAATGCCTGCTCTAAGAGACTAAGCTTCTTCTGCGGATAGACCAGAGCCAAAATCCATACCTGGAGATTTCGCCGGTCTTGTGGAACCGGAAGGACTCTGTGTACGTGACACTCGCGAGCCAAACGGAGGAGCTGGAAACGGCAACTCGGAAGCAGCTCTCCAGAGCGCCGAGTGCAAACGAATGCAGATGCCACGCCTGACTATTCATGAGGTCGGAAGTGAGCTTTGTGCTTCCAGTGACGACCAAATTCGCCTCCTGCTGAAGGAACGAGGCACGCAGGGCAATGCAAGCTTTATTTCAAACTGACTCTCCAAGACCCGACTTTGCAGGCATCCGGGAGTATTTGCTACACCCACTATCGCTGGAAGACGTCCGACGCACAGCGGAAGCTGCTTTGCAGCGACGATGGGCCGAGGTCACCGAACCCCGGAATCCAGTCGGCCTTGTCAGAATTCGCAGGGCAAGTGTTCGAAACCGTGCTCAGCAGTCAAAGACTCTACCACTGCAGTCAGGTGATGTCAGATGGGGGTACAGTAGCATGGCGAGATTTGCGTGTAATATTTCAGGGGTGGCATGGCAGTGCATGCGAGAACTCTCCTGAACGTGTGGACGAACAGGAGTTCCTGGTCTGCGAGACTCTGGGCAGAGGGTCTTCTGGAGTGGTGCATCGAGTGAAACGCCTCCGAGATGGGCGAATGTTCGCCATGAAGGCTTGCAGATTTGGCTGACCTATCTGCGGAATGCGGGGTTGGGCTTACATCTGAGGGACAGGGATGGACCAGCATGTGCCACTGTGATGGGCTCTTCAGGAGGTGCCGACTCGGCTTCTTCGTGAGAAGGATCGTCAAAGCCTGCTACAAGAGGCACATCGCACCGGCATCAGAGGAAATGCTCTCATGCTGCGTTGGGTGAAAGGCAGGCTGCGAATTTGGTTTGCTGCAGGTGGCCCTGATGCAGAAACTTGCTTGGCCAACGATCGTTTCCTTGACTACAGCTTGGGAGAACAGGCACGGGCTTTGCGGCAGTAGCCGTCGCAATTGAAAAGTAGATGGCCCCGGTGCTGGTTGCTGGTTTATGTCTTTGGCAGGCAGCAGCGTTTGCACTATATGGTGTCTTCGCCCGATTAGACAGCTGCTTTGGGCGCAAGCTGCTGTCGGTACCAGCCAACACTTGTCTTGCACTGACAAGGTAATGCCGTTTATGGAAGGTGGGTCTTTGAAGAGCCGCATCTCTCAAGCCCTTCTGCCTGATGCAGAAGGCATGTAGCCAAACACTTGCCTTGGGCAATGCTTTGAAAAGCATGTCCATCCCGCAGGCATGGACCCTCTGACACGAAGCACCTCGAGCTTCAGCATACGCCGCGGCCGCAGAAATTTGCGGATTTCATGTTTCGGCCACGTATCCACGCTCTTCACTGAGGTGAGAAGCACTTGGGAGCCTGGTATCTGCAATGCCTTCATGGTATGGCCTACCTGCATTTGCAGGGAGTGTTGCACAGAGACATCAAGCCGGATGCTCGCCAGATCCGTCAAGCCCATGACTTGTGCAAAGCAGTCTGGAGTGGTCGCTCTTGAGATTTGACTGCTTGCACCTCGCTCCAAGGACAACTTGCTCCTTGGGCAAGGAGGCGTCTGCCTTCAGAGGCTTGGCGCATTTAGCTAGGAGCCGCGAGCCAGTGCGCGGCCCTTCAATGTGCCGCTTCCTCTGCCCATGCGCCGGCACTTAGGATCTGTGATTTTGGCAGTGCCATGCGTCTGCCTGGCAAGGGGCCTCATCCCCGCAAGGCGAGCTTCCAAAGAAGTGGCTACGGCTTTGCCAATGAAAGTGTTCATCTCGAGAATGCCAGGACGCATCTGTGGAGGCTCCCATCACCACTCCTCTGTACTCTGCCCCTGAGGCAGGACGAGCTCCTGGCCCAGCCACCCAGTGATTCAGTGATCTGGTGAGTAATACGGGATGCGTACGTGAATCATACGTCAACTGGTCCGACAGCAAAGGTGATTCTTGTACACGGCTCGCCCTGAGTGGAGAAATTGTCGCAGCTCTGATGCCCTGCAGGTGGCAAAGTGGCATCGCACCTCTGCGGCTTCGGACATGTGGTCGGTGGGTGCCACCTTCTATGAGGTTCGGAGCCGAGTGGAGCAACGTCAAAGGTCAAAGGCCCTTCGTATTGCGTCGGTTTCGTACTCAGGCAATCACTTTGCAAACATTGGCTCCTCCGCGCTTCGGTGGGCCGCAGGCTGCACATAGATGGGTGTTAAAAGAAGCAGACCGTAGACCTGTACACAGCTTGCAGGATGTACGCGAAGCTCTCCCCTTGCAATCGCTGAATTTCAATCTATAGGGCCTCGAAGGGGATAAGGCGAATGAGTGTCTCCATGTGGTCCCTACTTGGCCACAGGAGCTTGGCTCCTGGCTTGCAAGCCTTGCGGACTCTCTATCGGTGCAGAGCATCAGCACAGTCGCCACAGGTGCCTGGAAAACGGTCATGTCCTGTCTGCTTCGGAGCACTGTCGCTTCAAAGGATCTCCTTCCAGCTCCGGTGAAGTGCCATCAGACGAGTTGCGCAAAGCGCTGGAGGCTCCGCGCACCGCTCGCAGGTCTCAGACATTCTCAGACTCTGCAGCTTTCTGCGCTGCAGAGAGATTTGTTTTCGTGAGACCCTGCAGGCGCTGGAGCTCACCGCAGGACGCTCCACTTCGGCCTTCTCTTGTCTCGAGAGACTTAGAATTCTAGCTTGTGGCTGCTTCGGCTGCGCACGGTGCACAGGAATTGCGACAGACTACGACTTTCGAGAACAAGGCAAACTGGAGGAGCCAGCAATCGACCCGGACGGATACTGAGCAGTGACCTGCTAATAAACCATCCCTCCGAGTTGAAGCAGGGACGAGAAGAGCTGGCAGGTGGTTGGGCGGGCTTTGCGGCGGATTCGTGAAATGCAGCTAGTGCACTTGCAGGAGATTATCTGCGTACCTTTCGACCAGCGGCCCTGTGCAGCTGCAATTCTCGCAGAAAGATGCGGCCTCAGAAATCTCACACGTGCGCAAGCCAAGAACGGTAGCGCGGCGAGTCAGTAAACGCCCCACTTGTGTCTGGCTTACGTGTTCATCGTGTCTGACAGTGCGTGGTCTATCTGGTGAAGTCGGCTGGATAGGGGCATAATGGCTGTTCGGTGACACCTGCCGAAGAGCCTTGTTAATGAGAGACCAGTATCGCTACAGACCTTGCCAGGCTTTGTCCGAGTGTGAGTGTCAAAAAAACGCCCCGCACATGCGGTGGAGTTCTTGGTGTCGTGATCATGACTCCCCCCCTGCCTCCCGACAGCGGTTTCGAAGTTTCGCATATCCTCATTATAATTTTATGCAGTTAGAGTATCTCACATCATGTTGCCAAAGGCTACGTTGTCCGCATGATGCACGGTTGCACTCTGCAGCTGTAGAGGATGAGCCGCATACAGCCTGACCTTGACTGATGTGCCAAGGAGGGAATCTATCCATGCTGCGATCCTCGTTAGTTGTCTCAAAGTCAACTAGCAGCGACGTGCAGACTCACTTGAAGGACTGCCGGCAACCGTCGGGAAATAGACTGACGCACTTCCGAAAGCTGCAGTGGTTGCAAGCATACGGTGGTTGGTCATGTTTGGCATGTATGCATGATGTATCGTGCAGGCATGCATGTGTGTGTGTGTGCGGGTGTGTGTGTGTGTGTGTGTGCCTGTGTGTATGTATATACACATACGTATGTATGTATGTACTGATATAATATGCATAACGCTAATGCATTGTTTTGTTGCGACAGGAGACGAACAGGATGCTGAGAAAGTCGTTGGCAGCTCAAGGCCTTTCGAGCTCCAAAGTGCAACAGTTGTGAACATCGACACCAGCTTCACGTTTTCAATCTGGACACAGAAGGTGTCCATTGGCTTGCAACCGCTTGACACAGAAAGTAGGTTGCCACGCACTCCGACCGCGGCACTGGCCAACCCACATCTTTACGAGTCTCGTTCACTTAGACTCGTTGCGCCTTGCACTAGTAGAGCCTGCCGCAATGGTCGAACAATTAATTTCAGGACAGATCGACAGTGCTTTATCTGCATGCATGTCCCAAGAGCTGGACAGCTAGTCATTCTCAGATGCCGTGCATCTGTTTCACAACCAAGTTTAGTGATTTGGGCTGGCTGTCTGCTCTCACACCACAGCAGCAGAGCTGTGTTGGAAAGACAGAGAGGATGAGCGGAAAGCCTTCCCAACGTCAAGCGCCACAGCTGACCTGCGTGGCACTCGCAGAGCTCCGCACACGGCTCCCTGTAATATGGCCTTTCGGAGGCGAGCCGAATCTCCGGGAGGAAGAGACGAAGAGACAGCAGTGGTGGGTGGACCACAGGCATTGCACCAAAGGGTGGACTTCTTCAGTTCTGTCGCCGTGAATTCCTTTTCACGAAGCTGTTCTTGACCGTGATGGACGACCGGCCCTACCCAAGCCCTGCTGCGCTTGCAGAAGCGGTTTTGATTTTCGGTTCCGGTTGGCACTTACGTCATGGTGATTCAAAGATGATGTGAAACATCGTCTGCCTTAAGAATCATCTGCACGGGCCAGGGGGGACTGGCACAAGACAGTCTCCCGGCTTAGAGGACGAGGATATGCAGCATATGGAAGAAAAGGAACATTGTGGGGAGAGTTCTTGCTCCACACTGGCAGTTGCCTCAGTCTACATTAGGTTTTTGCATGTCATGAACGACGAAAATGGTTGCCGATTGCCACACAGTGCCCGGCGCTCCGGAAGACCAGAGAAGCGGAGTCTCTCTGAATGGAATGGCAAGCATTACGAGAAACAAACCAACAGACTGAACTTCCGAACTCTAGTGGAGTGGCAAGCTGTCGCAAGAAACCGAAATGGACCGGCAAGCCCACCTCCCGCAATTAGCTGACCGACGGGTGCCCAGCTACCATGAAAGCAGGGACCAAACACCAACGACACTTGCGTGCACTTGCGTGAGGTGTGAGGTGGTCGTGAGGAAACATCGCGAAAGCTCCTCCTGTCAGGTCTTGGAGTTCTGGTTTCCCGCGCTGGAAGCTTCTCCTTGTCAGATGCAGGCAAGGCATGGGGTCTTGCGATTTTGAAAATTGAGCATGGCCGTCTTAGTGCCAACAGTGTCTGGCATGAAGTGATGCGCAGGCTACGCTTTGAGCTGGGGGCTTGGGCACGATCCCTGCAGACTGTCCTCGAACTTTCAGAAACCAGTCTTAGACGTATGATGTCCCCTGCAGGCCCCATCAGTGCACGCTTGAAGCTGGCTCATGTACCAAGCGCCAGCATCTCAGTTTGGGTCGAAGCACGGCGACTCCCTCGCCCTACGTTTGCCGGTGTGAGACCCCGTGCGCCCTCCGCCGAAAGCCCCACCGACGAGCGGGAGCGGCATAGAAGAAGAAAAGCAGAACTGCAAGTGTCATGATCAGAGGATCAGACGATGTGTTTTCGCCTCGAAGTTGCGACTCAGGAGGCCACTTCGAAGCATAGTCACAGAAGGGCAAAAGCACAAGTTGTCTCGCAACCTGCAGGTGATAGAGCTGTCCATCCTCCGTTCGCAAGTGGCGTGTTTTTCCCAGAACTTGAAGTTAGAAGTTCTTCAGGGGTGTGTGTGCATGCGTGTCTGTCATGCTGTGCATTCTTCGGTGTCCCTGCCGAAACTGGCCATCCACGGTTTTCCATCTTGAGTAGGATTCATTGAGGCACTCCTTGCTCCTTTGGGCAAGTGCAGCCGCTTCTGCCCCTGTCCTGGTATGACTCGGCTGTGCTTGCGCTGCCTTGTGCCACGTAGTGGCACGCAGGTAGTACACAGAAAGGGAGTTTTGGAAGCCAAACCTCTTCAGCACTCATTCCTCGGCTTCGAGAAGCTTCATTCCCATGCTCAGTGGATGCACCGGCATCCTCAGGCCTCGGCGCTGTATCGCATAATGGTCTCGCGGGAGGAGGAAGAGCTAGTGCACAAGGCCTGCCGGCATCCAGCATCTCGCGGCGTGGCGCAGCGCAGCGCTTCCATCGCTTTGGCGAAATCTCTTCGAGGATGTCAAAGCTTCGCTGGAAGAGTCATGGCCCCAGAGTCCTCCGAAGCCGGTCCTCGCTGCTTCCGTGCTTTCGTGAGCATCGCGAGGTATGGCAGCCTGTACGAGGAGATACTGAAGCACAGGATGCAGTTGCGGGGCTCCTATAAGTGTTTCCAGGGTGAGCGTCGGGTAGGCGGTAGGCGTGCCTTCGCCCAAAGTCGGAGGCCAGCGCAAGATGCGCAGCCTCTCCCGCAGAAGCTGCAGCGCTTCCAGCACCTGGAGGAGCAACTTAAACAAGAACGATTAGCAAGGCAGGAGCAACTGAGCCAGAAACAAACGAGTGATATCCAGGATGCACTGTCCGTGCGCCTTCTGGCACGCCAGCAATTGCTCGTCCACAGCAAGGCGGTCCAACCGTTTCATACGCATTTGGCGACATGTAAATCGTAAGCCCCAGGCTCAGTTTGCATAAGCACGGGGTCGAGCTGCAAGAAGCAGGAAGGACAAATTGACATGCTTTTCCCTGCCTTTCTCAACATCGTGGATATGATCATGGCCAGGAAGATGATCGTAAAGACAGACTTGGGAGACGGAAGCAGTGGAAGTTTCAGCAGTAGTCGTATTATCGCTTCCGAGGCCTCCAGAGCTGCCTCGTGACATTGCATCACGAGCACTCTACTGGCTGTCCATGTCACCTCTGTGTGGACCGAAGGAGGGGGTCCGAGTATGTGCTAGCTAGCTGCTAGCTTAGTGATATATCCCTAGCAGCAGACTGCTTCCGAGAACCGCCGGAGCTGCACATTCAAGCAGTAGATGAATGAATGCTGCCAACCAAGCCCCAAGCGCATTTCTCAATCAGCGAAGAGAGGGGGAATGTTGAGCATCAAAAGCTTCAGAAGGTTTTAGCTGAGACTTGAACGCAGGTAGACAGCCTGGGCGTTTCGCGCTAACCTCAGAAGGTGGCGCAGAGAGCAACGTTGCTTGGTGGTGCGGGTACAAGGTTGGACATGCTCAGAGAGGGCGGCACTTCGAGTAGCGAGCAGATGCCGTGGGACTCAGAGAAGCACAGCGCTGGAGACTGTAACGGCAAGGACAACTTGCAGAGATTTGAGCGACCCGTTCCAGATTCTCCGAAATCAGAAGCTCGTAATGCAGGTCGCGTGATGGCCATGGCGGCCATGAGGATTCCAAGCTGGAGGCGCGCGTGTTTTCAGTACCTCAGAGGTTACCCTCCCACCCAAGTTACCAAGTGCGGGCTCGGGCTCGGGCTCGCCATGGCTCGAGAACGCAGCATATGCATACACCTCCTGGTAGGCCGTGGATTTGCCACAGCGACTGAAGTCAGCAGCTTAGTTCGCCCGCTGTATGCAGAAAGATACGGCGGACCGTCATTCAAGCGCATGACAGTGCAGCAAGCGTTGCAGAATTGTTACTTGTCCAAACATGGAGTGGACGTTTTGAAGTCGTCGGTTGATTGACCACACATGCTTGCGGATGCGCCGCAGCACCCAGAGATATTCTCGAAGCCGCGACACGAGCTGTCGCGAGACTTGGGCTTTCAGCATGCAATCTGTTTACTGTCCATTTTGTCTTCCGAAAATCCAAAGCTCGGTACTATATAATTCGTCAATTGCCGCGGTAAAGCGTCAAAGCCTATTTGCAGCTCAGAAGCTGGTCAACACGCCGTCCCGTCTGGGAGTCTAGCTTGTGTCAGCCGCTCCTTTGCGCAATTGTCACTTTACAAAACATGCCTCTCGCAGGTTTGAGCTAGCCACTGGCAAGATGTCCGTGGACCTGGTGGATGACCGTTTCGACGAGGTCGGCGCAGAACGAAAAGAGATGATGAGGGAAGGGACCGGGCCACACAGCTACCAAGCAGCGCCCGCGAGCATGAGCCCAGACCCCAGACAGGTAAGGAGAGTGTGCAGGGGTTCGTGACCTACAGTTCGTCATACATTCAGTACACTAGGTACCAGACCGAGGACAGGCGCACATTTTCTCATGGAGGGCACAAGACGCTCTAGATGATTTTGGAGTAGGGTTCGCGAAGTTCACACGGCAGGCTCAGCAACAGAGACGACAGCTGTTGAGTCTGACTCTCGGATGTCTGGGAAGCATTTTTCAGGGGACGGCAGCGTGCTTCCCAGAGGCTTATCCCTCCATGAAGCAAGCTGGGCGGTGTCGACGGCAAGTCGTTGGTTTTGGCAGAAGAGCTACTATGCGCCACTTGTAGGTCGCAATATTATGGGAGCTTTGTCTGTTCGACGCAGGTGCCCATGTGCCCCACTTGGCAGGTTGATATCGACATGCTCACGGACAGCGTCGGAAAAGACGCCTTCGAGTGGCGTCGTGAACTTAGATGGAAATGACATGTATACTGCGATCTACCAGCCATGGACTTGCATTGTGCTGAAAAGTACGGTCTTCTGCGTCAACAGGCGTGGAAGGAAAGCTGAAGACGTTTTGCGTCATGCGCTGAGCCAGCCGTACCACGTGCCCGCAGACTGCACATGCAGCCAGTGTGTGGAGTTTGGGGAGCTTGCTTTCCGGCAGTGCTGCACTTGTTGGGATGTGTCAGGTGCGGTGGTTTTCCTGCTCAAGGGCTCTAGCAGCATGCAAGAGCGGCCGCGCACAAGCAATTGAGATAGTGCAAGATTGAATGGTGTTGAAGCCGGAAGAAACACAGCATGCATACTTCAGTTTGTCTTTGTAAACCTAGATGAACCTAGTGTGAACCGCAGCTCCTATGACGCAAGCTGTTGTGTCTCAGCTGCACCACATGTTGGTGGGGCTGTTGCGCCTTGGTTTCGACAGCACTTCGTGCATCGGATCAGCAGAAGCTGACAGGCCATGCTTCGGACTCTTGCTCTGGCATTGGTCCTGGGCACCACCTGCAATGAAGCGCAGAAGGCAGCGCGATTTGGCACTGCTTGCCTCCGCTGTCCTGGTTAATTTCAGTTTGTGCCCTCTTGAGGCCTCGCCCGCACTTGCGTCTGCACTGAGTCGCAGCGCAGCGAATCAACTTCGAGCCGTGGACCCTGTGATGGCCTGTTCATTTGACATTAAAGTTAAAGTAGGACTAAGATTCATCGTTATTCATGTGTTGATGCTACTAGTATGCACTGCCGCTGAGTCTGTCAAGGCTGTAAAATCAGAGCTCAACACTGAGAGACGTATCCTGGCGATGGCAGCCGCCCTATAACCGGCAAGCGTGGGATTTTCCGTGCCCGCGCTAGAGCCTCAGGTCCAAAAGCAGCAGTCAGAGACGACGAAGAAGCTTTCGGACCGCTTGAAATGAGTGTGCCAACATTTTCAGTCACGCCGCACTCCTTGGCGGGGGCATCAGATGAGATGGTCACGAGGAGAAAAAGGCAAAGGCTGGCAAGCTCACGGTGCAGCTAGAGAGGCTGAAAGAGCTCAATGCAGAGCTGCAGTCCGCAGCAAGACGCCAAGATTCCTTCGTAGCATCCGATGGGCAGTCTCTGTAGTGCCGTTTGTCCGTGTATTCCTCAACTCTCAGGAGAAGGAGAAAGGTCAAGTGATCCTCGAGGCTAGTTGAGCATGGGCTTCACCAGCACAGCTCACCAGAGCTTCGCAACATGCCAGGCGAAGCAGCTGAAGCCTCTTCAGGCCCAAGACCAGGCTTCCATTGGACTGTTGCCTGGCAGCAAGTAAAAGCTCAGCTCCCAAGTGGAGAGGATAAGAATCAGGGGGCTTTTCTCCTGAGGCTCAGCTTGGAGCATTCGTTCAACGAGGCACCGATTGCGATCGGATCCACAGCGCGCCGAGCATTGCCATGGCAAGACATTAGATGTCTGAGGATTTGGATGCTGTCACTGAAAGTCGTGCGAAGCAACAAGCTGCGGAGTCTTGGGCTTGTTAATATTGCCATACTGCATCTAGATGGCAGAGCCCCGAAAGCCTCGCAAGCTGTGCTGTATGTACTTCACCCCAGCCCTGTACGACTGCGCAATCATCACCTCAGGAGATGAGCAGCCTGAATGCCCAAGAGATGCACTACAGGTGCTGCCAGTACATGTCTGCGAAGTAGAACACCGAAGCACAGACAAGAACCTCAAATTTGCAAGGTCCGAAATTCAGAAGATCAGGCAGAACCTTTCATCGGCGGAGTGCGCAGCTTATCGGCCCGGCAGTTCCTAGGATCTGTCCTCGAGTCTAGCGCATGCCCAGCTAGGGCCGATCTTGCTAAACTCGTTGCCGAAGGTTAGCTATACGGCGAGCTCAGCAGGAGGCAGCCCCACTTTCCCAGGCCGTTGACACGGAATCTTACTGCTCACAAAGCTGTGTGTCAGAATGACCAGACCTTTGAAGGACGAGCAGAAGGCAGCCAAGGCGGAAGCGCTCTTGCAAGAGAAGGTACAGAGCAGGCGCTCAATTATCATCAAACTCGTGGCTGTGCGCTTCTTATAGTCTTTCGAGACCTCGCAAAGAGGTCGGCCAGTGCGCATGCCCATCGTGCTCGTCAATTGGCCCGCGGTGAGCAGCAACGTATGCTGTCAAAGCAGGAGGAGCTTGCAGAACTGAACTTTGCCATCGGGAACAGTCACTCAGCGGCATCGACTCAAGAACTCCACCCCCAGTGTCAACAGACCTTCTCTTGGAGCGGAAGAAGGGGCGGGAGACAGAGAGAGTTGAGAAGCTGCTCAGACGTAGAACCCGGGCCAGGGGAGGAAGACTCATTCGAACAGTTTTCGCTTGGTGTGGGAGTCGCAAGGCAGTAATGAGCGGAGTCTGCTGTAGCCAGCATCACGAGGCAGCCTTCTCCTCCAGAAGGAGAAGAGCGAGCTCGAGGACTGCTGGGTTTCAAAGAGTATCTTGTGGAAACCCGACTGCCGGTTCTTAAGGCTGAGCGACTCCGTGTGGAGGATATGACACATCAGGCGACTGATCGGAAACGCCACGAAGCCGAGAAGCCGAGCACCTGGCGTCCTGCCAGGCGACTGTCCTCACCGACCACCTGGCGTCCAAAGAGGATCAGCTGAAGCATGGACATGCCCAGGTCGTCACTCTGAACAAGGCTGCCCGGCAATTGCCAGTCTGGGGTCTTCGAACAAAACTGCATTAACGGAGTCGGAAGCCCGTATCTCAAGATGTGGCAGGATGTGGGAGAAAAAATGTTGCGCTAGTAGTGGGAATTGTGCCAGAACGTGTTCGCGATGAATATGCTGGGAGACACCGGTCGCCGTGGCAGTGGTTGTGGCGGCCGCGAGAAGCATGTGAACATGACAATGACGACTGCGACACCAACAACAAAACAACATGCAACGGGTGTCGATTTGTTGCTGTTGGGGCTTTTTTGGAGAGCTGAAGCCCCGCAAACCAGAAATTGCGTGAACGGCCCGCATGGCCCAAACAGCAACAAAGAGACACCCCCGCGCCCCCAGCACCCACAGCAAAAACAGCACCCACAGCGTTTTGTTTTTGCTGTTGGTCTTGCTGCTGCTGCTACTGCTGCTCCTATTACAACAACAGCCACTACTACTACTACTACTACTACTACTACTACTACTACTACTACTACTACTACTACTACTACTACTACGACTACGACTACGACTACGACTACCACATACTACCACTACTGCTGCTGCTCCTGCCTCTGGTGCCGCTACTGCTGTGCTGCTGCTACTGCCGCTACTACTGCGGCGAAGGCTAGGGGGTATAGTAGTGACGGCTACATCGAACGTTTCCTATGCAGCGACTGCTTCAAGCAGAAATGTGAAAGCGACGCCCTTCGACCCTGTCCCAGGAACTTGCCCAGAAGCACAACGAGGCGGAATCTCTGCACGAGGAGACGGCCAGCCTCGAGGGTCGAATCAAGAAGGAGAGCTTATTTGGGCACGTTGTGACGAGTATTCTGCTCTGGCAGTATCGGCAAGATGCGACACACCTTTGCAGGACATGGAGGCTAGCAGCAAGAACGTGACGGCACTGCTGTGCTCCAGCCTGTAAGACAGTCATGGCCGGGTCTCTGCCGAAGGTGTCGCTTCTCGTTCTAGAATCGCAACATGGCCATGCAATAAGGCAGAAGCTGGAGAAAAAGGCGACTGAACTGGACGCGTTGCGCCAGAACGTCACTTCCAGTGAAGACCAGGTCGAGGTCAGGATTCAAACACTTACCTTGTTTCGAACTGCTGACCACTCGCCGCCTTGGAGAGCTGGCATGAACTGCAGGACGTGATGTCAACACTGAGGGGCTACATTGACCGCTCTAAGGCGGTTTCGGCGGTGCCAGTGGATTGGTTTGCAGTGCTCTTGAGCAGGAGAAGCTGCACAAGACAAAGCACCAGGCCTTGTTGCAGAAGAGCCAGGTACAGGACCGCAAGGGCCTGGTATAACAAAGCCTGTAACCACTATGCCACCACAGCCTTGCGGCCAGGAGAAGACATCAGCTGCGTCCGGCCAAATCCAGGCACCTGTTGCTTCCCTCGTTGGCCTTGGCATGCCAACCGATCACGTGTGACAAGGCTGCACGAAGGGAGACGGCAGCTGTGAAGGCCGAGTTGGCGGCAAAGCTCCAAGAGGCATCCAACATCATGCGAGCGCACACAGACCCTGCTCAGACGTCAGGGCTAAGTCGGCTAAGTCATGCTACTTGTAACTAGCTACGCACATGTGGCATGCATTGGTCTGCCTGTGCATCTGCATTACACGATGTAGCAGATAGTTTATGGCATCCATGACATGATGGTGCAGGTGGAGAGTCGTGCCGCTTCACATGAAACTGCGCCCCTCTACCTGATTTGGTGGATGTGTTGAATAGCTTGGCCACAGCTGTTTCCTTTGCTTGACTGGCGTGTCACAAGCAGTGCCACGTATCCGAGGGAGTTGGAGATGTACCAAAGGAGCCACAATACGGCTGCTCTGCAATCTCTACAGTCGGCTGCAAAGGCTCACCTTTCAAGCGAAACGCCAGGTGAAAGCATCAAACCCCTACCGAGAATGTCTGGCACTCTCTCCTTGTTTTCCATCGGTTCTCACTACTCACTCATTCTCTCTCTCTCTCTCTCTCTCTCGCTCTCTCGCTCTCTCTGTCTCTCGCTCGCTCTCTCGCTCGCTCTCTCTCTCTCTCTCTCTGAGTCTCTCTGTGCTGGATCTCATGGATTTGGAGGCGAGGCTGCAGGCCCAGAAGCACCAGAACGAGCGGCAGATGAAGCTCTCGAGCTTGATTCAATATCGCACCTCGGTTGAAAATATCCCGAGTTGTGGTTCTTCTGCAACACACATTCAGGCGTGATGCATGAGCTCCGACATGAAGTAGCGATCCGATCGGCAGGCCTCCAAGCAGAAGTTCAAGACACTGCAGCCGTTGCGGAGTCGTCCATCGCTGGCTCTTCATCAGCGCAGCCCTCAAATTATTGGATGCCTGCCAATGTCTGCATCAGCATCAGAGCACCTGAGCACTTGGACTAGCTACAGAAAGACAGCAAGCAAGCAAGAGAGAAGAGTATGCCTCCGACGTTACCCCTTTATTCGGTGAGAGTCAGTCCCGAAACAGATCGTCACACGTCAGATGACATTACGCGCTCCTGGATGGAAAGCTTTGCATTAGCTTGCTGCACGCCTGCAGCCTTTCTGTTTAATTCGTGCCAGCTTACTGTTTGCTGGCTTAATTGCTACTGTACTGGCTTACTGTTGTGCTTGCGGTGTAGACTGATGTAGGGCTTAGGCTTAAACCCCAAGCCACGGGCTTGATGGAGAGCAAGAGTACTGCCTGCAGGAGGGGGCGGGCTGTGTTTTTTCCCCTGCTAATAAGCAAGTGCACAGAGCAAACAAAAACTGAAAGGACTTGGGGCACATGCTGGGGTGTGGGTGGGGCTTCTTCTACCCGGTAGAGAGACGAGGACAGGGAGAGAGTGAGAGTGCAAAGCAGCATGCCCAGGAAAGAAAGAGAAAGAGAGAGACGAACTGAACTGAGCGCGAGGGGGTAGGCCCTCGGGCCAAGGGTCTTTCGGAACCCTTTTCCCCTGAGCAGCCTAAGCAAGCAAGCAAAGCAAAGCAAGAGAGAGAGAGAGAGAGAGAGTAGCCATTTTGGCTCAAGTACTGCACCTTTGCTTGGGGGTGTGTTCCACCTCCTTGCATCGGGGGGCAGCTGGTGGGGTTGGCTCGGACTGTTCCTCCGAGAGAGCCCTGCCGTTGTCCCAGCGGTGCTTGAGACCAATCGTCCGCCGCCATTGTCCTTAAGTGGCCCTTGTAGCCTTCGTGTAAGGCGCGAGCTATAAAGCTGACCGGCACGGTCGAACACTACTTGCAGTCCGGCGACCGGGGGACAGCAAGGCCTTCCTGCCCGACTTGACAGCCGAGGGAACGCGGTCTTCTTCGCCAACAGCGCCCTGACACTCCTGGCCGAGCTTCGCTCACCGAACGACTGCGCTGGGAGGGGGAGTACCACACTTACAAGTCCGTGACTAGCGAGGAGACCGAGAACAATAACCACCGTGGTGGAGTGGTACAGATGGACCCAAGTGGGGGAAAAAAGCTGAAAGGGAAGAAGGAATGCCGCATATGCCGACAGGGCGCAGGCATTTGCCAGCAAGGATTCCGCAAGGTGCACGAGAGGGGGGATCCAGCATGCCGCTTCCATGGGTGCAGCGAGAAGGGGACGGGAAGCCGCCCGGTGACCCAAGGCAGCAACCCGCCGTCGCGGGAGGCGGGGGACGTGAGAACCACACAGGTCCCTTTTACGCACATGACCAGGTTCACGACAAGGAGGGGGATAGGTCTACACTTCCTGCCTGGGCCACTCGACAAGTGGGGGAAGCGAGAGATCTCCAAGGAGGGCGACAAGTGGATGGACCTCGTGACAGGCGAGCCCTGGAAATGTGCAAAATAGCCAGAACGGTGGACAAGCTTACCAGGATCGTGGACAAATATATGCCGAAGCTCGCCAATGAGACGCGGGCACATGTTATCCGCTTTCCACAAAAAGCCGGCCCACTACTCAAAAAGGCACGCCAAATCCGGAAGAAGCTCCGGAGGCGGCGTAAAGCAGCGGGGGCGACAACCTCGAAGCCACCACCAACAAGCCGCGGGGGAGAAGCCACAGCCGACTTGAGAGAAGGGGGTGAAGAGGATGAAGTCGACTGGGGGAGCACAGACTCAGCGACCACCGGCACAGAGCCGCACAGCCAAAGCAGGGGAGACCGAGACGAAGCTGTGATGGCCGAGGACAGAGAAAGCCGTGAGACAGCACCAGCCGAAGACCGGAGCGAACAAGCAGGGGAAGACGCTGGAACAGCAGCCGCCGAAGACGACTCGCACAGAGGGGGAAGCAGCTTGGGAAAAGAGAGACCGCGCACCCCAAGCAGAAGCCCACGGAGAAGAAGGTTGGGGGAGGAGCGCCCACGCACTCCAAGCCGCAGCCCAAGGGGGAGAAAGCCGCAGCGCAGCCCGAGCAGCAGCCCACAGCGAGTACGACTACAGCCGAGCATGTGGTGGCAGGTACAGCATGTGCAGGAACACATGCGCAATAAGCGTGAGAGCCGTGAGCGCGACTTGTAAAAAGTACAATGTGCGGGGGACGGGGACTGGGGGAGGGCATCCTTTTTTCTTCTGTTGCTGCTGCCCGGTGCCTTCCCTGGTTCCCGAGTTTCTCCTTTGAACCCTTGCCGGGGGGATGCATACATGCAGGTAGCTCGAAGTAGCCGCCGAGTGGTTTTCCCTTTTCTGCAACAGCTCGAAGTAGCGACCGAAAGCCCAATTCAATTGCACCAGTCGCCAACCTGCGACTTTTGTTACCAACCGCCACAGTAATTCATAGTAATTCATGCGCTTTCACCGACTGTTTCCATACTGGAAGAAATAATTCAACCGGCCTTTTTCGTATGACTGCGCGAGGGGGGGACCAGCTACTGGCTCTACTGGGCAATATTTGTACACTACAAGCTGGCGAACCCTCAACGAGTAACCGTGGCGACCCCACAAACCTTCACGTACTTGCTGTATCGTATGGTCTCGATATGCCCTGTCCTCAGTTGTTGTTTGTACTGCAGAAAGGGAGACCTGCCACCAACCGTTGGGCAATGCTAGGGGGAGGCGTCTGGCGAAGGTACCAAGGATCTAGCCATAGTGGGCGCGGGGATGAGGCCGGGACGGGGGCTAAAGTTCAGAGTCGGGGGATTTTCGCCAGACGTACTCTACCGCGCATGCCAACCGAGGGAACAGCCCCGAGCACCCGACCCCGGTCTGCATGTCACATCCTGTCGCCATGGATGGTCACCTTCAAGAATGAAGAGGGCGATGCGTGTGCATCCACTGCATGGCGAGCACTACGAATACGATGACGCTGACGTGTTGTGGTCGAACTACACCACACCTGTGCATATGTCACATCGGCGCATGTGTATCTGTTGCCTAATGGGCTCCACGGGCACGACGATGGCTATACTGCATGTGAATTTGTATGCATGACTGAGTACCGGCATGATGGGTCCCTGGCTGCATGATGGGCTCAATGAGCATGACGATGGCTATACTGCATGAGCATTGGTTGCATCGGTGAGTTGCTGCATGGGAATTTGGGTTGCGTGGAGGAGTACCGGCATAGGCACCACGAGCACGACGGTGACAGTCCTGCATATTAATCTGGCTGCATGGTGAGTACTAGCGACCGTGAACGTTTGGTGTGAAGATTCATGCGCTGGAAGCTGGCTGTTTTTGCGTCTGCATGTGCATGATATATATATATATATATATATGCTGGCATGGTCCCACTGGGAATACGAGATGAGGGGATACCTGCAAGATCTATGCACTGTGCATGTCCGAGATGTCTGAGCAGGGCTACACCTTGTAAAGAGTGGTGCGGTAGTCGTCTTTTGAAACAGTGATGTGTCCAAATGTGGACCATCGATCCATGCCTGGCTGCCTAGCTCGTATGCTGTCTGGTTTGATAGTCTTGTGTGATAGGGCTCTGTTCGTATGATTTGGTTTACTGATACGGTGCTGGGCTTCTGCAGTGCATGCTCTTTTGAGTGGAGATACTGTGGACTATGTGGAGCCTTGCCTGCTGCGTGCGAGTGTGAGCGTCGAATGCCTCTCTCCCACCAACGCGTAAGGGGGAGGGGGGGCCTCGGCCCGGGTCTTCGGACCTATCCCTCGCAGCAAGCAAGCAAGCAAGAGAGAGATGGCGCTATTGGTGCAATGAAGCGAAGCGAAACTCAGGAGATGCATGCTCTCCACACATCAATCACCAGAGCGAAAGCAGTGGAGGCTGCGTCTTGGCGTGCTTATATTCATCTGTTGCCAGCAGTTCGAGTATTGATGAAGGGGAGTTGATCGCTGCAGCCAAGGTAAAGCTGTCCAAGGTAAACAAGCAAACAACAGCAGCTTGGTCTGCGATGGAAGCTCCTTGCACTCACCACCACATCCTTCGACGGTCTGCTCTTGCCGTTTATCTCACCGGGTGTGGGCATGAATACTGCCATGAAAACTTCCAACATCTGCGAGCCTAGGCGATGATGCAGACTGCCAGGAATCTTGAGTCGACCTATGAAGCTTCGAATGAACAAACCGACGGCAAGGCCAGAAGCTCAGAATGAATGATTCCTGCGTCATTCGACTGAAAATGAAAGGTAGACAAGCTATTGGTTAAAGAAGCAGATGCGCAGCGGAGAATCCAGAAGGCGAGTCGAGAGGCACCCTTGTCATGTGGACCGCTCGCCCGTTAATGTGAAAGCATCAGCTCGAAGCTCCAGCATGCAGAGGAACAGGAGACCGAAAGCGAGCGATGGGCTTAGCATTCTTGAGAAGAGTGCGATGGAATGGGATGTCACGACTACCAGGTACGACGATGCCAAGCGGCGTGTGGAACATGTTTACATGGCGATGCAAGCCGGGGACGCCATGGAGGCCGAGCCTTGGCTGCATGGTGCAAGGCATGCCAAAGCAATTTTAATTGACATTGGAGCTGGCAATTACTCGATTATCCTGTATAGGTCGCCGGAGCACGTGTGAATCTGAGACCCAAAGCATCTCAGGATGAAGTGAGGCACTTGAAACATGAGCTGGAAGATGTCAGGAAACACAAGGACCGCTCCGCAGATGATTGAAGATATAGTCAGGCGAGCATTCGGTTTTTGAGAGAAGCGAACGGAAGCATGTCTCAGGTATGAAACCTGCCTAGTCAGCTCGCTGTTGCAAGAAGGAAACGAAGTAGGTTCGGCAAGGTCAAGAAAGAAGAGGCTTTGATATACGTGATGTTGCTTTTGCCCTGGGATTAATGAATTATGCCTGTAACCTCTGTCATCTTCTGTGCTCCAATCCTGACAGAAGATCAGAGCGACGATTAACGATGCTGTGAATGATTGGAAGCCTTCAGCATGTAGCTGGCTGCACGATATGTAAGAGCTTCGCCCATGTTCAGCCAATCTGGCGGGGAGAGCACGCAGAGGGCTGGCTGGGATTTTTTGACATGATGCCCATACTGACGAGACAAACGGGTACAGGTTGGATCGCTGGCACCTGTCTCGAGCAAACCTCATGCTGGGCAGGAGCATGCGGTTTCTCTGATGGCGAGGGAGCTGCAGGACGAGGGTGTCCCATGAGTGGTAGCACAAGAGAACAGCGCAAGCATGGCCAGAAGTTTCTCAGCCGCACAAGGGCTCCAGGTTCAACTGGTAGGGTCGGCTGGCTGGCATGGTGCGTACTGCCTCTCAGGGCTTAGGCGGTCCTCGAAAGCGAAAGGGGAGATGGTGCGGTTTACCAGCACGCAAGAGGCAGAGGACCGAGCTTTGCCGCCCGTCTCATCCGGTGGCAGAGCCTTGGCCAGTGAGCGATCTGCGAGCTTTTGATGCCCCAACCGAGGGCCACTGTGAGATCAACTATGGCCCCCTTTTGCGAGAGGTCTTGAGGGCACGAGGCTGGCGATACAGCACCGCACCTTGCCATGGTGTTTACGATGAAGACACCGATTCAAGCACTTTCTATGTGAAAGAGTTTGAAGCATGCCTCCAAGGGAAGAGCCCTTGCCAGCTCTTTGGCAAGAGCGGATCACTTGAGGATGGGTATCGCTTGCAGGCCCTTAGGTTGCCCCGCCATGCTCTCTGGATGATGGGCCGGATGCCTTTTCGGGTTCCGGGCACTGCCAGGGATCAGTGCCGCTCCAGGGAAGATTTCGTCCAACTGGTTGTGGAGCACGGAGCGGGACTGCCTGGCAAGCCTGGCAACTACCGGATTGCCAAGTTTCCGGGGACTGAGCGCATTCTCTTCAAGACCAACTTCACCAAGGCTTTCAAGGACAAAGCGTGGTATCCCACCACTTTCGTTCTTCCGGATGACAGAAAGAGCTTTCTACGAGAAGTTAATGCCAACAGGAGTGCCCTTTGGATTGGGAAGCCACGCAACGAGTATGGGGGTGCCGGCATCTGCGTGTGGAAGGGCAGCGATCAAGCTCTGAAGCGGACCATCCAAGACATCAAATCGGGACGCTCCATCATGCAGAGATACCTGGCAGATCCTCTGCTCCTCGGGGGTTACAAGTTCCACATGCGCATCCATTTGGTCATCACCAACCTCTCTCCACTGGAGGCTTTCGTGCAGGAAAATGGGCAATGCCTCTTTGCAACTAAACCCTATCGAGTTAGCGATCAAACTCTGGGAGTGAACTTCGACCCGCCGGTGCATGTGACCAACATGGGCCTCAATGCCACACCCAAAAACAAGGAGAACTTCCTGAAGGAGAAGCCGCTCATTGGCAAGGGCCAGCAGATCCGAATACGTCAGCTCATCAATCACCTGACCAGCATGAACCCCAGCTTTGACAAGACAGCTTTTTGGCAGCAGATTTTGGAGATTGCGGCGGACACCGCTATGTACATCGGGAAGGCCGTGCAACGCCGATTCAAAGTCTTGCCAGACCGTCACTTCGAGATTTTTGGCATGGACCTCATGTTGGACAAGAAGTTCAAGGTCTGGATGTGCGAGGTTAACACTGACCCTGGAATTGGATATCCAGATAAGGAGGTTCTCGGCAGCCCAAATCCAGACTACAAGAAGGAGCTCTCGGCCTGTGCAGAAACCTTGCACGACGTGTTTGCGCTTCTTGGCCTGGATGCTGCGGTGAAACAAACCCAAGGATCCCTTCGCCACTGGCTCAAGGTTGATGTAGAGCAGGCCAACAAGAAGTGACGGTGGCTTGAATCCTGAATCATTTGAACGACGTCCACATAGGATTTGTTGTCCCCTTTGTTTGGACTGGTCCCGTGGATGTGATGTCCAGTGCTGCTGCATTTTGTAATTCGTCGCGTGCGTGAGCACGCAGCACGGTGCTGCATGAGCGCACCAGTGCCCAATCCAGGGCAGACGAACGACGGGTTCGCGCCCTTCGCGTTTTCCTTTAATGTAGGCTTTGCTATATCTTTGTGTTCGGGACATCATCTAACTAGCCGCTTCACACGATTAAAGGAAGGCTCGAGTTCGCATCCACATTTAAAGGGGTGCCGACTACAATACTTGGCTGTGGAACCCACAAGTCCTGCAAGGATGCCGGGCCAAAAAGGAATTTAATTCAAGTTACCATAATGTTAAGGAAACTGAACTGGGAAGGTGGTGCGAGCTGGTTGGAGCTCGACTGTGCTGCAAGTACCCGCTCGATGACGCCCATCTGTGCGGAGTGCCTGAACGAAGCGTTCTTATCATTAGCTGAGGTAGGATCTGTGCTACTTGCAATGAGCATATGTATGTACGCATATGTTATATAGTTATGTATATATATATATATATATATACACACGGAGATATGATAGGTTTGCAGATATGCACCCCCGCATGTATCTGTGTGTGTGTGTGTGTGTGTGCGCTCGTTCCAGGACACACGGGAGGGCCAACCATCCGCTGGAGCTGTCGAGGCCCATCCCCTTTCCCTTGCGCAAAACGCTGACGGGCCATGCTTGCTACGGTCCTGAAGTTGAAGCTGGCCAGAGAGGTAGATCGTCTTTGATCCGTGCATATCCGTGCGATTCGTACTGTTGCCGAAACAGTGTGGAGCCTTGCCTGTCTCGTGCGAGTGTGAGCGTCGAAGCAGAGTGGTAAAGCTATCAGGTTTTCACGGTCGAGACTGCCAGGCACCCCTGTAGGTGCACACGGCGTTTCCATTTGCCACAGTCCTGCTCGGGCGGAGCTCACTGTGGGCGACTTTCATTGTAAACTCGCCTACTTCGGCGCTCGTGTGTGTGGTGAATCGCGCGCCCGCAACAGGGCAGAGGCTATGGCGCCAACGTGTGGGCTCCTCTCGAACTCTCGCCGTTCTGGGGGTTTCCGGCTGAAATTTTCCTAAGCTGGCGGTCGTGCTCCCGCCGCTGGGCGAAGTGTTTGGCCTGCGCATCGTCTTCCTGCCACAGTCCCCGGCGTTTCCGCCCCCCCAAAGCTCTGAAAGTGTGCTCCGCCGTGCACCAGAATTGGCAGGACCCGTTTCCAAAGCCGTGTTCCCATCACAGCCGCGGCGTAGTGCGCATTGCGGACGCATGGGTGGTTGTCTACCGCGGCATAATTTCTGGATGTCCCTGCGACCAACCCTTTATCAAATTGGTGTAAGATGATTACACTGCAGTTGCAGTTCTTCTTGTGATCAAGATGATGGTCGGGTGTTCTGCTGTGCTTCTGTTGGGCTCGTGGTGTCAAGCCAGCAACCGACTTGATTGCGATACGGGCACAAGCGGCGTGAATGCAAACGCGCACAAACAGGCAAAACCAAGCGATAATTACTGTAGCGCTGCAATACAACCATACGAAGCTTTGATCACATGGGTCAAAAACTGATTCACGCCAAACTTTATACAATTACTCAGAAAGAACGAAATGCCGACAATCCCTAAACCACCGACCTTGTGGAGCCTTGCCTGCTGCGTGCGAGTGTGAGCGTCGAAACCACCGACCTGGCGGGACCGACGCGCACCAAGAACCTCGTCTGGCTTGTCCGAGTTGCGAGAGCGTAAACCACCGAACCTCGCCTGGCATGTCCGAGTCGTGAGAGCGTAAACCACCGAACGAGACGAAGGTTTATATTCTCGTAAGGAGCTTTTACAGACCATGTGGCGAGATGCCAGTCATAGTGATTCCGGAAAGATTACGGATTACGGACTGTCGGAACGGACTGACGCCTTTGGAGGTGCAACCTCAGGCTGTGAAGTACCTGAGAACAGGCGGGCAAGGTTTTGTTGAAAACTGAGCTGTTTTGGATTCTTAATGATTCTTAGAGTGCTTGAAGTTCTGGTTTCCGCTGACCGCAGGCCTGAGCTGAGATGGACACGGACAAAAGTTTGGCATGTGTCAAAAAAGCCCCGCAAGGCTGCACTCAAAAGCATGCCTATGCAGACCTGGTCGGTCTTAAATACGGAGTTTCGATATTTGGCGCGCATTTGTGCCAAGGCCCGGCATTCCGGCAGAATTATCCTTCACTTTCGCCAATCGGAGACAGGCTCTCAGTCTCAGATGGCTTCAAGGTCTGTATCCAAGAAAAGAGAGGGACAGAGTGACAGAGTCCACGCTGCTGCCGATCAGGGTCTTTCAGCAGATGCCCGGAGACTTGGCCGGGCATCTCGCGGGTGCCTGAGACGTGACAGAAGCAGCAAAGGGGTCTCCTGAGCTGAGCGGTGCTCAGCGTATCTCTACCTTGCATCCAGGTGTTGGCAAACACCCTGGAGCACAAACCCGAGTTGCTGAACAGCCGAATACCAATTTGGGACAAAGACGGACATTGTGAGTCGCAGGCCGGCCCGCAACCTTCTGACGTTGCAGTTGAGCTTTGCGCCGCTGGAGGCGCCTTTGCACGACGCACCTACGACTTGTGACAGTTCAGATCCACACCAACCCTAAAGCACACATGCTGATCAACGTCTGGTTCACGCTTCTTTGCAGGTCTGCTTGCCACAGGGAATGTTCAGTCAACTGCTGAAGCATCGTGCTGAGATCCTACGATCCAGGTTGACAGGCCATCCCTGCTGGAACTTACTCTGCCATGCTGGAAGCGGAGGTTTTTCGAGAGGGATGCGGAGCCTTCGCAATGCCAAGGAGCATACGACACTTCCCAGGACCTAGGACGAAACACAAGCTTTTTTCAACACGAGGCTGCTCACAGCGACAATCGTCTCGAAGAAGCTTTTTACAAATGGCTGAAACATGCGAGGACAGCCTGCCAATGTCGCAACGGGTTGTGGACAAGGTGAACCGACAGCGCAGCTCTTGCGTCCCAAGTGTGTGAGTTCCAGAATTCTACGGATACAGATTGCCCCAACTTTGTCTCGGCAGGTTTATGAGCAGATCCCCGACGAAGTGCAGCTCGATGTCCGCATCTCCTCACCTGTGATTGTCGTTCCGCACCTATCTCTCCCTGACCTCAACCCTCCCTAGTGCTAAACTCAAGCCATGTCTAGCGTGTCCGAGTCGCTAGGGCATCAAAGCTCGAAGGTTCTCGTTGGCTTTGCGCTAAGGTTCCTGTGGATGACCTCGGCTCCGCGCGCTTCAGTTCTTCCCTCGAGTCTTGCTAAGAGCAGAAGACGCAGCCCTCTCCGAGAATTACTGAAGCGTCCATCGTACATGCAAGTGCGCATGCACACGCGCACACGTATTCAAACACACTTACGCACATGCACGGGCATTTATGGACGGAGACAGGCAGACAGACACAGTCACTTGTTTTAAGAAGCTGGTAGACAGGAATCGAGTACAGGGACTAGCCTTGATGGAGCACTCATGTATCTGTTCTTCTCTCCACCCTCCAATTTGTGGACAGGAAACCGCAGGTTTGGACGCATTCGGTGCGCACGTGTCGCAGTGTGACGATTCTCCTTCTTTGCGCAAACATTGGTGAGCTGTGCTCCCGACCCTCTGCCGATCGAAGCTTGAATTTTCGATGTCCATGCCCGGTCAACTCCCGCATCATGGGTGTAGCAATGTTTTTGATGCATATTCAGCGAGCATTCGAGCAATGACGAACGTTCGTCACTCACAAGTACTCTATGACACGTATAAACGGTAAACGATTAACAAATCTCTGTAGAGAAATAGAGCACTTGTACATGAGGACGGGTCAGAGGACACGTCACTTCGTCCCTTTGAGTGAGGTCTGGGTGACCTTCATCTTGTCACCCTGGGACCCTGCGCATACGATCGTCCGTGCCTCGATCTGGTTGCATATCGTCGGTGATGCTGAGTTCCGTTACCTGGCAGCGATAACATGCGATAACGTGCTTCGGAGCTTGTGCTGCGACTGAAGGACATGTGTGCTGTCTGCTGTGCTTAGGTCTTGCTTGCAAGCTGAAGATGCAAGACATTTCACTTCGCCTCAGCCCCTGCATCAGTGAATGGCAAATTTGCCAAGCAGCCCGGTATCTGAGACGTCGTATCTGCGTGTCAGCACGTGTGCAACAGGCAGCACTACAGCAAGAGGCGCAAACTTCAATGTCGTCACAAGCCAAGACGAGTGGAACTGTTGTTGACGCCGCGTGGAAACTTGCTTGACCAGGTCAAACCTCTGCAGCTCTGTCTCGACGTGCAGCCTGGGGCACGGCCTAGAAAAGTTGACTGGCGGATCAGGCCTTCGCTCGAACACGAGGCTTCGGATGCTGGACGACGAAAATCACATGGAGGTTCAGGCTGCGATGAGCCAGGCCTGCAAGCCAGCAGTAAGTTGTAGATCAGCGCGCTTCTGCTGTAGGCTGCACTGTCTGTGAGTCCAGAAGCGATGCCGGCCTCCAAAGACCTGCCGTTGTTGCTGATATCGTGTACTTAGATCACCAGAAGTGAACAACACAGACCGGGCCATAGGCCATAGCCGTGGTATGCGCTCGACTGCAGACCAAGCTCAGGCAGATACTTGCTTCCATTCCCTCGGCTTTGTCTTCGCTTCTGCTATGCCGGCATGTCGCTTCTTTGTCACCTCCTGTCTCTGCAAGAGTGCACCCTCTCCGCAGGGGCAGCTTCGATGAGGCTCTAGTACTTAATGATCTTATTGGGGTCAAACAGCGCTGGGGATCATGCCAATCCGCGCAGGCAGAGCCGAGCTTTGTCCTCAGTCTGCTCTTGCCGAGGGCGTCGCCAGCAGTTGCATACGGTGTCCAATGTCCGTTGTGGTATCGGCTGACAGGAGCCAGTAGCTGTGCACGGCTCATTATGCTGTATCATGCCTTCGT